GTCATCTCTCGGCTCCACTGTTGCAGCGTATTTGCGTTCCCTCATACACTAACACACGAGGAGTGTTCACAGCATTGCTGTCTTGTCAGTCCCTGGCCTTCTCTCAGTGAGAATCTCACTCCCGTCATCGATGCCTTTCACCTATCCACTCCGAGCCGGGCTCTCCCTTCTCGCATTTACGTACGAAGAGCAACCTGCCTTCATGTGCGAAGCCCTGGGTCCACGACAGGGCTTCAGAAATATTAACAAAACAAAAAAGAAAGAGGCCGCTGCTGCGTCTCCGACAAAAATCCCCGCAAGGGTTTCCCGGATCTCTTTGCCCGTTTCGCTTCGTCGTGTTCTATCTTCGAAAAGACTGGCAACAAACAAGGGGCCCCATTGGTCTCCACGTGGCGGCGTTTCGGTAAAACCTTGCGCCACACCTTGCGGCACGCCGCGACGTTTTTCGTCGCAAATAAGAAAAAAGCCAAAGCACATAACAACGAAAAAGCCGCGAAAGCTTTCGCAAAGAATCTGCCAGGCTGTTGGCCGTTTTGCGAGTCCCTTAGCCATCTCAAACTCGCGAAGCGTCCTCCCTTAATGGTTTCGACTTTCGTGCGGGTATCGGTTTCGAGGGGGAAACTCTTCAGCGAAACCGCCATGGGACAGCGCTGCATCGGTTCCCTTTTGGATTTCTTTGCCACCTCTTGTCTGGATTTGCTCCCCCCGATCCTGCCCAAGGCGTGGCCGCGGTTTGCTCTTGTGCCTTCCCTTTTCTCATCGGTTTCGCGTCTTGCTTTCTCTTCTTTGCTGTGCTTTTCTGGCATCTGGTTACCGGTTTCGCTACAGCTGGGCAGCGATCCCGGGACACAGAGCGGGCATCTCTTGCCGGCTCGCTTGGCGTACCCGTCTCCTCTGAAATCCCTCCGGCTACCGATACAAACCGAATGAGACGACAGGCGACACCGCCAGACATGGGCTCGCCCTCCTCTTAAAGAGTCCAGAACATCACTAAAGGCAAATACTAAACTTGTGTCCCTGCAGATCTCAGAAGTGCGCCCGGTATAGGTAGGACACGCACACGAAGAAAGCCAAGGGGATAACTTCAATCGCAAACACCTTCCGGCAAGACCGCAGAAGCTTGGCAAGGCGCCCCGTCTGGCGCATCGTCCCGCTGGCGGCCTTCGACCGCCAGGGACGGTGGGGCGTGCGCTAGGCCTTGAGATACGCGACGCCCTGTCTGGCGCATCGTCCCGCTGGCGGCCTTCGGCCGCCAGGGACGATGGGGCATGGGCTAGTCCTTCAGTTACGCGGCCGCCTTTTTGGAGCATTCCCCCGCCCCCCTTGTACAAGGTTAAATGGTTGGGCACAGTTCGGGGGCGCGCTCTTTGTCGCAGGCTCGTTATATCGGTTCACAGTTGCGCAAACATTTAACCTTGTACCAGGGGGGCGGGGGGCGAGGTGGCCACGCGTTGCCCCTCGTCCCTGGCGGCCTACGGCCGCCACAGGGACGACGCGCCACGCTGCGCTGGTGGGCGCTGGTGGATGCGTGGCGTGCGCCGCATAATCTAGCGCGAACAGCCCAGCAAGGCAACTCTCTGCCCCCTTGTCCCTGGCGGCCTACGGCCGCCAGAGGGAGAACGCGCCTTGTCCCGCCTGTCGAGTTGTGGTGGGTCCCGTAGCGGTGCAACGGTCGGCAGAATCGAGGACGCGCCAAGCGGGTGGCATTAAAGAATAAGGAAAGAGGGAAAGTGCCTCCGGATGTCTTCCACCTTTCGGCGCAACTCGTCAAGAGACGGGTTTCTTTTTTGTTCCAATCGGTTGCGGAAGGGTTGGGAGGGGTTTCGTACTTATACTGATAGGATGCCGGAAGCTTTAAGAAGGTTGGACCTTAGTGCACATGTCCCGCAGTTTCTTACTCATACACTATCACAAGCGTAATACTGGCACCGAGATTAGACGCACGACAGGAACACACGAGGGGAGCACATGAGAAGACGTAGAACGCAAGAGCAGCCAAGCCAGAAGAACACAGACCGACCAAACTGGAACGAAGAAGAGCCAGGCCAGAAGAACACAAGCCGACCAACGTGAAACAACCAGACAGCGCCGACCTCTCTCGCATATCTCCCGAAATGGAAGAAGTTCAAGCAGATGGAGGCGCGCGAGGTTTTATCGAAACGCCGCCACGTGGAGACCGGTGAGGCCTCCCGTTTGTGGCCCCCAAGACGCGCGCTGCCGTCCTTACTCGCGCTGCCGTCCTTACTTTCTTCGAGAGAAGACGGGGGGGCTGGGTACAGCGCTGCCGCCTTCGCGGTCTGCGGGGAAACTGGTGGGGGCCCGACTTCGTATTTAGAGCCTAGTCGAGCTGGACCCCCCGGGCCCAAGAGGCTCCCTCCCCCGGTGAGATAATCAGGAAACTATTAGGGACCCCGCCGCCGCTCCACTAGATTACCGCGCAGGACGAGGCAGTCAGGAAACTGACTTCGACCTCCTCGGGGCCGCACTAGATTCCGCGGCCCCTGCTTCCAAGCCGGGTAGCCGGTCCGCGATGCTTCGACGACTAGCGGACCGCCGGCCCCGGGCTGCTCCCCAACGAGCCCTCACTAGCGGCGGGCCGGTGGAATAAACCCCCACGAAACCGTGAAGGGGACGCCGCTGAAGCGAAGGACCCCGAGCCCGCACGCAGGGCAGCAGGATGCTCCAGGCCTGCTAATTGGTCCGCGAAAAGCCGAGGAACAGCGGACCGCAGCCGCGGGGCGTCTTCCTAAGGATGAGGGCCGACCTCTGGCAAATTTGCCGCCAAAACTCCTAGAATGCTGGGAAAGAGCCGGCACGGGAGGAAAGGACCACGAGCCCGCACAAATGGGCACGGCTTGGGGCCTGGTGCTCCAAGCAGACCAGCCGGTCCGCGACAAGCCGAGAAGTAGCGGGCCGCCGCTGCCGGGCTTCCCCCCCTAAAGAAAAAGCAGTCGATTGTTGGCGAGCTGGTGGCCGCAGCCTTTAGAAAACCGGGAAAGGGGCCGGCGCTGGAGCCAAGGACCCCGAGCCCGCACACAAGGGCCCGGCTTCGGTCGCTCCAAGCTTGCCAAGCGGTCGACGATAAGTCCATATCCCGCGGACCGCCTTCGCCGGACTTCGCGCTAAAAAAGAGCCGGCTTTTGGCGAGTTTGTAGCCCAAACTCCTAGAAAGCCGGGGAAAGTGTCGCCTTTTAGGCAGAGGACCACGGGCCCGCACTCATGGGCCCGGCCTAGGGCATGATGCTCCAAGCCTGCAGCCAATCGGCCCGCGAGGGGTCGATAAGTAGCGGACCGCCGTCGCCGGGCTTCTCCCGCAAATAAGTTGACTTTTGGGGATTTTGTGGCCCAAACCTCTAGAAAACCGGGAAGAGAGCCGGCCCTGGAGCAAAGGACCACGAGCCCGCACACACAGGCCCGGCGGCAGGCTTGGCGCACCAAGCCTGTCAACCGGTCGCGGCCTTTTCCCTTTGCGCTGGTTGCTGCAGTGTGCGGTGCAACGGCCAAAAAGCTCGGGGTTTTTTTTTGGAGTTCTTTCTACGTAGTGCCCAAAAGCCCACTTTCTTCGCCATACCGTGCGGCCTTTCGCTACTCACGAGCGCAAACAGCCGGCTTTTGTTCTAGTATACAGCGGGCGACGCAGCCCCCTACCAAGCCGCCAAAAAGAAAAATGACAGGGGGCGACCGAGTGGTGATGCCGACGACGCAACGGCAAAGAAGAAAAAGGAACGGAAACTGCAGTGAGACAGCGGCGGGGGTAGAGCGCTGGCTTTGATATCTGACTAGTTGAATTGGACTGGCAAGAAGATTGTCATTCAGTTCGGCTGCGCATTCGCAGAAATTGGAAAAAATCCCCATTGTTCATGCTAGGTTGTGCCGATTGACATTGATAAAAATTCCACAACTGCAAGGTGTGTAACATGAAGACCAAATTTTGCTTTTATGATCTCAAACACGTGCACAAACTCAAACTCGAACTATACGTACAGAACTTTCGTAGTAACAAAATGTTACTGAAGACGAGAAACGCCGCGTCGACCGATTTATCCCAATCCAGATCAAAGCTTTTCTCGCACAACTCGACTTGAAACTTTGGGAGCGAAAACTGGTGTGTTCCTCCATCCTGCTGCGGAGATAAGATAGCCCCTCCAAATTTTTTCGGAGCCAAAGCATTTCTGACAGAGCACATTCGTGTTGAATTCCAAGTTGGATGAAGTCTGGGTGACAGGTCGTTGGCAGCGTGGTTTGCGAGTTGTTCTTAGAAAGCAGCGCCGCGCTTTTATTGAAGATACGGTGTTTATATTGGTAGCACACCATGCCTGGAATACAGTTCTGGCGCTAGAGACTGGTCGAGGGTGACGCTTCGCGCTGTAATTTCTGTGCTCTTTTTAGGGCCTCTCTGCTGCATTGTCCCTATGCAGTGTGTTGAGTGGGTCAGCAGTGAAGTCGCTTTTGAGTGTGTCATCAGTGAACGCTGTTGGACTTGGATGTGCCATCTGTGAAGACCGTTGAGAGTGCCATCTGTGAAGGCCGTTAGATATGTCACCAGTGAAGTCGCTTTTGAGTGTGTCATCAGTGAACGCTGTTGGACTTGGATGTGCCATCTGTGAAGACTGTTGGATATGTCATCTGTGAAGACCGTTGAGTGTGTCATCTGGGATGACCATTGGATATGTCATCTGCGAAGACTGTTGAGTGTATCATCAGTGAAGTCTCTTTTGAGTGTGTCATCTGTGACAACTGTTGAGTGTATCATCGTTGAGCGCTGTTGGATATGTCATCTGTGAAGACCGTTGAGTGTGTCATCTGCGAAGACTTGTGAGTGTATCAACTGCGAACGCTGTTGGACGTGTCATCTGCGAAGACTGTTGAGCGTCTCATCTGTGAAGTCTCGCGAGCGTGGCATTGAGACAGTCTTGACGCATGTATCGCTCGCTGCATCTTTGGGATCCGAATATTTCAAATCCAAATCTGTATGGACTGATAGACACTTAGTACCAACAGGTTCCTCGCTTTGGTGGAGTACTTGGTTCTTTTGAGGCCCTTCCCCATCCTAGATCCTTGAAGTAGTGCTTTTTCCGCCCCGGACCCTTTTTTCCGCCCTCGCGGCTTCTTGCCTGGACCCTACGAAACCCAAATCCTTGGGGCCCTTCACACACCGACGGGCGGGGGTGGAAGGCTTCCGAGGGCGGCAAATGTGGCAAGGCTTTGGCCCCCTTCCGTGTTTCATGTCCCCGCCAGACCTTCCGCTGGGCGGGCTCCCTCATGGGGGGCCCCCCGGGGGGTGGGAGGCCTCCGGGGGCAGCAGGTGGCAGGGCTTGACCCCCTTCGCCGTGCTGCATGCGTCCGACGGAAGCCAGGCGGGCGCGCTTTGCCCCCCCCTCCTCCTCGCCTTTGGTCCTCAGCCTCCCCGGGCGTTTGGTGGCGGCTGACGCTGTCACCAATTGGGGGGATGAGGGCAACCCAGCAAAAGGTGCCAGGCCTCGCGACCGTGGCCGCCTTCGGCGGTCTTCTCCCCCCGGAGGCCGTCCTTTTGATAGGGTCCAAGCGTCGGGACGCCTGTGAGGTACACGCGGAGAGCCGTAAGGGGACTCCGGCTCCGCTTTTTGAGGCTTTCGCCCCCGGGAATCCTCGCACCACCGCGGAAAAAAGGGCGCGCCGACGCCACCACAGCTCCACCCACAGGGGGGCGGGGGGGCCTCCCTCCCTGGTGCGTATATACATAGTATGGCATACATTCAAACTTTCGAGAGCTAAAAGGAAATTCAAACTCTCCAGTATCTCATGACTTTCTTTCCTGCCTTATTGTTTTTGCCTTTTACTGGTACTGCCTCCTGAGTGCTACAAAGAAGATACCATGTCGCAAGAGCAGGTAGAGTCCGGCCTCGCGCTGCGGCAGGAAGTGCTACATTTTCGACTATTCGACCGGGAAAACGCGCTGAGAAAGGCGACTCAAGAAGACTCGCTGAATATGCCATCATTATTTCGTCGAAGTGCGCTTTTCGTCATTTTGCTGCCAGACGAGAGCGTGACAGAGTTTGACGGAGACGTGTTAATAACGAGCACGAATGCGTGGCTACATGGGACCGAGCGTGGCGACCTCTTCGACCGCGAGCTCCGTTTGGGGGGTGGCGCGGACGCTGCGCTGCATGCCGCGCAACCCAAGCTGGCTGAGCTCACGCGCCGCGCCCTGGTGACAAAGCGCGATCGCGTCAAAAAACGGCTGCAGCGCGAGCACGCGGCGGTAACAAGGGGCGAACAGGACCAAGAAGTTTATCAAGAAATGCTCACGCCACGGGGCAGTGGCTACTTCGTGCGCGCTGGTTCTTCCTCGAGGAATTTGCACGAGCGAGGCCCCGCTGGAACCAGAACGGGGAACGATGTAACGCCGCGGTCGCATTTGAGCGACCGATCTGACATCGTGTTTCCAAGCCCGCGACTGCGATCGCCCCGCGATTCCTTTTACTTCTCTCAAGGCGGCACAGCACGCAACGAGGACGACATTGACCACGCTCGGCGCCTGCTGGAGAGCGGGCCGCGATCTGCGAGATCGTTCGGTACAGGCCAAACGGCAGGCTACACGGATGTTGTGGGGAGGCAGAACACGATAGACCCGCACGTCCTGAGCCGGCAGGTTAGCAAAGATAGCCACTACAGCGTGGCTTCGCATATGAGCAAGGAGAGCGCAACTATCTCGCAAAGCCTAGACGCAGCTGGCGGGAGTTCCATGAGATCGAACGGTAAGAGCCCGGTCCGACGGCGCTCCACCCTAGATCTGCCGCCCGGCGGCAACTTCCGCGCTGGCGGCGTCATGCGCAAATCGAGTAAAGAGGTATATAATATGCAAGCTGTCAGTGGCAAGTCTATGCACCGCCACTCATCCTCCGCCAGCGCCACGACATTGGGAGTTTCCTCTCCGAATGAAGCCTCACCCCGGTCGCAAGAAGATGCGGCGGCGCCGGCAAGTCCACGTTTAACGGAAGGAGTGGCTAGGGCTATGGAAGGGTCTCATATGGCGTCGAGTGGGAATGAGGTATTCGGGCTGGTAGCCTCCGACGTCGGACAGAGTCTTCAACGCAGCGTGAGCGAGCAAAGCGGCGCGCCGCAGCGAGATGACCGAGAGGGGCGTGGGGCTGGTTCGTCTCCAGTTCGAGAGACGTCACCTCGCGAGACCAAGCATGTGGTGACAGCAAAGGGAGAGCCCGTGTCCCCGCGCGGAGCCACGAAGCAGCGCGCGGTAAAACACCGCGGGATGGCCAAGCGACAGGGGAGTAAGGACGTTTTGCGCTTAGAGCTGGGTGAAGTCGTGGAGACGTTGGGCCGGCAACGGATCCTGCATACCTGTCTGCCGTGCTTCCCTTCTGCAGCTCAACGAGCCCAATTTTAAGGTCAGCTGTTTTCCGTTTCTCCGATCACGTTGACATCGTTTCCCCCACAAACGAAATTTATTGATAGATATGTAAGGGCGGGGGAAGCAGAGGTCAGCTAACGGGGACGACTAGATGGAATGGAGCATCATCTAATAGCTGTCTCCTGCCACGTCGGGCCTCGGGGACGCCACACAGACACAGGCGGGAAGCGACGAGGAGGCCTTGGGGATGGCGGCGCGGATGGCGAAGCGGAGCGCGCTGGAGGATCAAGGTGCGATTGTGTCGTGCGATATCGCGGAAAACCTCTTGCGCGAAGTGTACCACGACACGCTGTTCGTGTCGATGTGCGGAGACCCGTTGCTGTCTCTCGAGGATTCTCCTGCAACGGGCCTCTTGGAGAGCACGCACCGGAACCCGGCGCACCTGCGGGTATGCTATCCGGCGTTGGGCTGTGGGGCGAGAAATTACCCGGCAGCTGTGTCGGCGCGCGCGTGCGTCCGCGGGTGGCTCGACATGCTTTCGGCGCTCGCGCAGGACCCTATAAGCGCGCCGCACCTTCCACACATGGCCACGCTCGAAGTGCGCTTCTATCAGAACTACAAAGTCTACCGCGAGTGGGCGCACGTCTTGTCCGAAATGCTCTCTCTTGTTTCAGAAGCGGACTACGCGGCGCTCGTGAAGGATGCAGCGCGGGAGGAAAGCCGCGCGCGGGAAGGCGTCGTCCCGGTAGGGACCATCGTCACAAGGCCGACGGGCCACAAGACTGCGCCCGAAGTCGACCAAGCGCCGCAAGCACCCAAACCGAAAAAATTATGCTGCTTTCGGTAGCCTTACTGCTTCTTAAGCTGCGTTTGAAGTCTTCAGCCTCCATGAAGAAAACCGTCAACAGATCAGAACGCCGGGGTGCGAAAGAACCTGGACGGCATGCAACTCGGTGAGAAAGAGAGTGGGCAATATTTGCGAGAGGATCTGTTTATGATTACCAACGCTGGAGCACGTCGTGTTAGTACCTAAACTAAATTTTTCTTTCTTAGTTTGGCTCCAACCTGCAGCCATGTTCAAACAGTTGATGCGTCACTTGTTAGCCGCACTCATTAGTGGTGCTGAATCACATGGATTTGTCAAGGTGTCGCGTATAACCCGGAAATAGCAGAGGTGCTTTATTCCTACATATATACATAGTACGTATTAATCTTCTTTCATGACTGACACAAAATGATCGCATGTTCGTTGATTCAAAGGGCATGACTACTTAACACGTGATTTACAGGCTCACCATCGGTGAAATCAGTCCGGATTAGTCAGTTCGCTACATACTTCTACTCAAAATCTACTCCTCCCGGGCTGCCGACGGACCCTCTTTTTGGCGCTGTCTTGTCTCTACGGTAATTGATGAGATGAATGTCCTACTCAAAATCTACTCCTCCCGGGCTGCCGACGGAGCCTCTTTTTGGCGCTGTCCTGTCTCGGTAATTGATGAGATGAATTGGACAACTGCGGCAAATCGATGGACAATAAATAATGTTTGGGACAACTACACCTTCTCCTTCGTTCTGCCGTTTGATTGTAACTAAAGTCTACCTGTTGTTTTACTTTCTGCAATCTTCGTGAACAAAATTATTGTTGTCACATTTGTGTTCTCTCTCGCAGGGTTCGTAGCTCAATTTTTTGTCTTCATCGGAGGGGCACCACGGATGACATCTTCGACGAGCGACTCGTCTTGTTCATAGTCTAGCAGTTGGGACTTATACAGGCAGTTTTAGTGATGTACAGATAGTTTCGATGTTGAGAAGTACCGAACCAGATGCTGACATACGCGGGATGATCGCGTGTTGACATCGCGCTGTGAGGGTAAATTCATTTATACCTAACTCATAATCTTTCAGAAATTTTCGGCTGCATGATTCGAATGTAAACTGAAGACACGAAAACCAGTGTGTTCCTTTGTTGCTGCGAAGACGATCCGCTTGCGATGTGTGGAGGTAAACAAGTTCCTGACCGCCCTGATCGGTGTTACATCTCGTCACGTTTGGGCGAGTGACGAGTTTTTGGCATCATCCGTCAAAGGCGTCCACAAATAGCAACTCGGGCTTGGTTGACTATAATAGAAGATGTCCGTATGGTGCTTACTCCAGAGACTGGTCGATAGTTACGCCATGCTCCTTGATTGATAGCCTGACTAATCGAGTATGCATTGATTCCACTGGCTTCATTCTGTTCGACAGCGTTCCTACCAATCTATTTTGAAATCAAACAAGATGAGTCGTTGTTGCTGTGCGATAAGACTGAGCTGGGAGTGCGCATCAACCTGTGACACGCACAAATTCTTTTTTTCTATTTTTCAAAACTTTCAAAAAGAAAATCCACTCTTGTTTTGCCGTTCCAGTGCACCACCGGACACAGGCGAGCAGTGTTTCGAGAGACGGCGTTCGAGAATGGACCACCTTTCGAAGGGAAACCCTATTCTTATATAAACTACTTTCAGGGTTTTCGTAACTTTTTTACAACCCAGGTAAACAGCGGTAGTGCGCAAGCATTGCGACCGGAGACGGGACTTGGCCGACGACCGCTTGATCTCTTTACAGTAACGGTGGGTCGACGTGCGAGTAGCGCGACGCATTACATTCCGGACACACAGGGAAGTATGCTAGAACTGATGCAGAAACTCCTGAAGTCGCCTCATGAAGAGCGACGCTTCAATAAGATTAAGAGCGTGCCGAATATGAAGCAGCCGCCGTTGCAACCGCATTCCCGACGATGATTTTCAAAGTTGCGGAAATAAGGACATTTAACTTCTTGGGCGGAATACTACCACTAGTAAGTTGTCATAGTAGTGTCGTACTTGAAGTCCGTGTAGCAAGACCACAATGAATACTTCTTAAACAAGCAAAAAAGAACTATTCCCAACTAAACCAATGCAGTTGTTGCTTTCCACTTTCAAATATTCTTATGTTCTTGGTTCCACGGTGAGGCCGTGCCATTTTTCTTAGCCAATAGTCCAATGCCGAAAAGGACAACAGTTTTCGTCTTCGTGTCTCAGTAATATGTGTTCGCCGTGGTGAATCAAAAGATCATGCCACATAAATGCTCCACGTAAATACTCAGTAGTTTCCATTGATACTTAAGATTTGCTCAAAGTGTAGGTAGCAAGAATCCAAATTTTCATTTTTATCGAGGGTAACCTCTCGCGCTACGGGTCAAGATGCTGCGTGCGTTAAGAGAAGAAGCAGTCGCTCAAAAAACTGTTCAGCGAGAGACGGAGCTTTGTGTCTATAGCGAATTAAGTCTGATTGGCAGAGGTTGTCCTTGCCGCAATGAGAATGGCTCTTTCAACTACATCCGGAAATCAGATCTACTGGAGCAGTAGCGACATCGAAATGCTATAAAAGACTGTATAATTACAATCGTTTTCTCAGCGGTTTTACGGAGAAATGAGTGCATCAAGAGATAATGCGTATAGGCGAGTTTATCAGGAAGATGCAAAAAAATCCATAAGTAATATAGAAATTATATTTTTCATGGTGGCCGCGACTAGATACAACGCGGCGCTGCTCCTTGTCTTATCAAATACCATCCGCTAGTACTAGTATTTCTTCTTCTATTCGTTTTTGCCGCAATCATCTCGTACAGGAAAGAAGATGTTCAATAGTGCACAGCGGTTAGTTTCTCACTGAATATAATGCATTTTTTGATGTTTGGAGAATTTGGCACGATTTGTGGCATTAGAATATTCGAAGGATTTTTGAGACTAGACACTGGAGCTCGACCAATCGTTACTTAGATTACTTAGAAGATGGCTATTCCCTAACTTCTATGTAATAATGTCTCTTAGGTGCTTATGTTGAACCGCGACAGGGACACACACGCACGACATTCCGTTATTGGAAGACAGCGACGCATGTCCTGATGCATCTCTCGTCGTAATCCTAGATTTGTTACAACAATTAGTTTTTATAATCGCGGCGTAGCGTCAAAAATAACGAATGGTGAGCCCTTGCGTCTTTGTCTTGCACTCGCAACTGGAAGGAAGCAGTGCTCATGTCCGATAGCACAGGGGGGCAGACCTCCCGGTCCGTTGTTTTTGCGGCCGAGACTGGGAATCCAGAGCAAGGTGCTTTTCCGGCCGATAATTTCGGACTCTTTTCGGGCGGGACTGGACCCACAAACGGAGGCGATTTCGATGACTTCGGAACGGGTGGAACTGCCTTTGCGCCAACGAGAGATGCAGCAGGCGAAGGCGGCGATAGCTGGGGCGATTTTGGTGACTTCGCGGGCAGCGGGTTTGCGACAGCACCGGCGACAGGCAATAATGACTGCGCACGTAGCGGATTTTCGGCAGGACCAACTACTGGTAATGAAGCCCGGTTTCCTGCGGGGGGCGCGGACTTCCCGCCACAGTTTGAACCCTTCGCTGGCTTCAGCCCCGCCCAAACACCGGGAGATGCTTTGGGTGAAGCGAACCATCTACCCCAGACGGGAGGGACTTTGGATATGCGGTCTGCGAGCGCGTCATCGGATGGTGGTGGTGACGAGGCCGTCACAGCGCCGGCGCGTTCTGCACTTGGAGGAGCGATGCTGGTACTTTTCCACATAAGTACTTTGATGTTGGGGATCCATGATTTTTGATGATCGATAATAATTATTAAGGAAGGCTCAGGGAGCAATACCCATGCTAACGATTTGACTTTGATGCAAAGTGTTGTGAAACTGTTTAACAAAAAGTAACACTGATTTTATTCCGTCTCATCCTTGGTGCTTATCTACAATGACATTTTCCGAACTTCAAATATATCAGAATCAAGGCGAGACTGGTTTCTCGTTTCCAGTCGCGAAGGAATTTGTTCCTACTGGTGGCTCCGGCGAGCTCGGACCTACGCGAGACATTGTCGCGCCTACTGAGAATAGTTCCATGCAACTCTCCCCTTCAATGAACGGCGGCATTTCATCTCCGCTGCATTCTAGCAGTACGGGGATTAACGCAGCAGGTCACTCTCCAGTAGTAGAACTAAATTCGTCGTCCATTACTGGAAGTCACAACGATGCTTTTCACGGGTCAGAGGAACCAGTGACGCCTTCTTCAATGCGTGGTGTATCCCCAACTCACAGTGCACTGTCGCCCCCGGGAGCTACTACTTCGCGGAGAGTAATACCTGGTAGTGCCTCATCGACAGGAGAGCAGCCAGAAGCGTCCTTGCAGCCTTTGGCATCTGCTGCGAGCACCGGGGCGCCTCTGGAAGACTCCGGCGGAGCTACAGCTTCAACGATTCCCGCTGACGGTACCGGCGGACATCGCAGTGGTGCGGCAACGGGCGGCTCGGGCGCATTAGGCGAAACTGATATGAGCTGTTCGAATGACGAAACAACTTTTGTTACTGTGCCGATGGCAACCACGGGTTTGGCTGCCTGGCCAAGTCTAGTACCTGAAAGCGAAGAGCAACCCCCTCGTAGACAAGAGAGACATATTACAGCAAAAGTAGGTAGGGACGAACAATCATTGAACTTTAGTAGCGATATCGCACAGCAGCGCGACTCTGGAGGCAGTGTCGATGATGCGATGATGGAACAGCAACGGCAAGAGCGACTAGCAGCTTTTCCACCGTCGGGTTCGACCGAATTCGATTTTCCATCTTCTTTAGTGGTGCCTGCAGATTCTTCGGACAATCGTAATCCAAAGATCCTCGTCGCTAATGGACAGCCTAAGCCAGCAAACGAAGTAGCGACATTGGATTGCAGTACTGGAGCCGCAAGCGGCGCTCTTGGCACGTCGGACATAGTAGCTTCGCCAGGGGGTGTCGACTTCTTTTTTGAAGAGGGGAAAAAAGCATCAAAACCGCTTTTTTCAGACGAAGAGGATGGCTCACCATCGAAAAATGGCTTTGGTGAGGAGGCTATTGTGGGCGGCGCTGATCCTTTCAGTGCACTGTTGGACCAGATAGATCAGACAGATCTGAATTCCCCACTCGCTCTAGGTGTTACTGCTGCCTCTACATCATCAACTGATCAGAATAATGAGGCAAAAGACAACATGCCACAAGATTCGCAACTACCCCTAAAAGTAGAAGCTTCGTCCCCAACCATTTCGGCAGACGGCGGAGCAGACACTCCGTCCGCGAAAGAGAGCGGGAGCGATGAAAGGCGTTCACACGGCACAGCAGAATCCCATGGGACCTCTGAGGACTTTGTAAAGGTCGAAAAAGGTGATGCGCCTGCGCTAGTATCTTCAGACCCGACTGCTTTGGACGTCGTAGCCCAACAACCTTCGACACCGGAGTATGGCACGTCATCTCCTTCGATGACCACAACCAATCTTCATTCATCCGCTACTGTGGTTGATGTTCTGGTGGCGGAAAGCTCTGCGTCTACTTTTTCTGGCGGCGAGTTTCAGAAACCTGCAGAGGACGTTGCTAGTGACGTGGGTGTGCCAAGCGACGACGTCGGAGACGACTTCGCTAAAGTAGATGCTGATGACGGGGGCTTTGGGAGTTTCGGTTCTTTCGCCGCACCGACTAGTGACTTCGCGTTCGGTGACTTTGCTGGAGAGGATGCAAACAAATCGCCAGAAAAAAATCAAAGTTCACTCAGTCCTGAGAACGAGAACCTCCACGGTGATTTTCAAAGTAAAAGTTGTGTTCGTGCAGCTGCTATTTCACCAAATGAACCAGCTTTCAGCAAAAGTGATGATGCAACTGGCACTTCGCGGCCTAGCACACCAAGTTTAAAGCGTCGAGAAGATCCTTTTGCATCTGTTGACGACACACCAAATCCCATAGAAGAACAGGCTGAGAACTTGCAAAACCCTTCTGAAGACGGCTTCGACAAAAGCGCCGCGGGATTTACCGCTATCGGTGGTGATGACGATGGGTTTACAGGCTTTGTGGCGCAAAAGCAGAACGGAGATGACGACGGTTTCGGCAGTTTTCAGCAAGAAACAGCTGAGGACTTTGCAGTTGACGACTTCGCGGTCGTAGAGAAGTCAGTTGTAATGGGAACCTCCTCGCCTTCTTCGCAACAGACTAGGCAAAAAGTTGACGAAGACAGCAATAAACAAACTGAAGTGGGGCTTGCTCCTCCCGCGCAAGATGGGGTGATGGAAGACACAAGTGGTTTTGGAAGTTTTCAACAAAAATCAGTCTCAGACGACGATGGTGGCTTCGGTAGCTTTGTGCAAGACAGTGGCGATGCAAATAGCTTTGGCGGTTTCTCAACAGGGGCTGATGGCTTTGGAGATTTTGCAACAGGAGGCGACGGGGATGACGGTTTTGGTAACTTTGAACAGGGAGACGGCGATGGCTTTGGTGATTTCGCAGGCGGCGATGAAGAAAAAGTTAGTGATGGTGGTTTCGGCGGTTTTGCTGCTGCATCGCAACCTACCCAAGAGAGTAGTGAAAATGCTAGCACAGCATCGGGTAAAAACTTCTCTGCTGCATCTTCGACAATACCAGAAGGAGCTGCGCTAGACAAAAGTACTGTTGTAGGCGGAGTTGCTAGTGGAAGTACAACGACGAGGTCATTCGGAGGAGAGCAAAGTGCGGGTCAAGTAGATGCAGCGTCTATGAGTGCAGGCGCAGTAGCCGAAGCAAAGAGTCAGTGCTTGGAAAAAATCATGGCGCATTTACACGACGACCCGTTGTGGAAAGCCGTAGCCGCTATAGGCGCGCCTCCACCTCCAACGACCACAATTCAGTATGAAACTCCGATACAGCTCATGAGGCAGGCCCAGGAAGAAAGTACTTGAAAACTCCTACTTCTATCTATTCGTTTATTTTTGGTCTAGGAATGATAATACTTCTTGTCTTGTCTACCACATGTCAAGTTGATTTCTGAGTAGAAAGAGAAACCAAGAAACTCTTCTTTGTTAGTTATTATCATGAATGCATTTTTTGATTTTTTGAGGACCGACATTTGATGGAAATAATTACTCTACAACAGACCCGTTGCCAGCTATACCCGAGGAGCAGTTGACAGATACTATCGTTCAGGCGCTGCAACGCTGCGGCGTCCCCGACGCTGAGCAAAAAGTGCGAGCGCGACAGAGCAGTAGTACATTAAACTTGTCTGAAAGTGCAAATAAAGGTTTTATGCCACCATCCAGTACATCTTCGTCGAGACCAAGAGTGGCAGGAGTGCCAGACAGTAGGGTAATTCTTATGTCCGAGTTGCGTCCAGAAAACGACCCGTTGTGCCAGGGAAAGGTCCCCTTTTTTGAGCGCCAACTAGCCTCTGGTGGAGCAGGAAAACGGCCAAAGCCTGGAGTGCCGAACCCCTTGGCAATGTTTGATCAGACGCCTGCCTTAGCAATATTTGATCAGTCCGCCGCGAGTAGTGTCACGCAAGCCTTTGGGCCGTCGGGAGATGCGTTTGACAGGACTGCTAGTGGCGGTGCCATGGACCTCGATATGCTTGCGCCGGGGGTGCAGAAAAATAAGATGAACGCTGCTGCGTTAGGAGAAGATAAGAGAAATGCTGGAGGAGCAGCTAGTAGTTCCTCAGCTGCATCTTCTGGGGATGATACGGAGAAAACCGGTGAACAAGATGGAGCTACAACCCAAAGCACTTTTGGAAATTTTTTCGGTGGCTTCTTTTCCTCTAGTACTGCTGCTGCCGCGTCTTCCAGCGAGACTAATGACAAAGCTGCGGAGAGTAAAGGTCCTAGTCCAGCATCTTCACCTGCTGGCGCCAATAAGCGTGTAGAAGCGACAGCTTCGTTGAAGCCCGTGGCGACCGACCTTCTTGGGGACCTCTTCGGCACAACGACAAGCAGTACAACCAGCATAAGCAATAGTGAGGGTGGCCTACATAGCAGTGGTGGAACATCAGGCATGATGAACGGTGATGCAGGTTTACAAGCACCGTTAGGATCTGGTGCAAGCAGCTGCAGCGCTTCAACAAATATGAACGCAAAATTTGAGGCTCCCGCCAAAGACGCGATGGATGCTTTTTTTGATTCAGCTGGTTTCGAATCCTCTGCGCCGACCTCAGCTGTGCGATTTGCGGACAGTTTCCAACCTGACAGTTTTCAGACTGGCTTCACAGGGGAACAAAATGATGCAGATGATGACTTCGGAGATTTTGGGGACTTCGTACAAGAAGCTAATGCAGATTTCAGCGACACAACTCCAATGGCTGGCGGTGAGAGCATCCTTGGTGACTTTGCATCAGCGCAAAATCTGTTTAACAAGCCACAGCCATCGTGGTCGCCAGGAGGAGAAGGTGGACGAGGAAAAAAGCTGACAGAGGCTGAAATTCAAGCCTTTATTGACAGTCTACCGGACCTCTCCTGGATTACGTCGACATCGCTGCAAATGTAACGCAGCGCAATATTTTTTTCATCTAGGAACGACGATCCACCTCCAACAGCAATATTAGCCATTTTTCAAAAAATAAGAATACAAGTTTTTCTAATGGACCTTTGACTCAATTATAGGCAACACGTGTACAACTAGCTGTCATTCATTACCAGGCAAACCATAGGTGAGTTTTCGTAACACCAAAACTCTTATGCCTCGCTGAAGATGTACCCGACCACCTGAAAACTCACCTTGATTTGAATTGTTCTCCATGTATTTATCCTGCACAAGACGAACTAATTGAAATTTGACGTCTTCCGGGGCGAGCAATGGAACAAATGTGCTCATGCTAGCGGTCAAGGCGGATTCTTAATGTGTTTGAGCGCACTACAAAGACACTTCCTCGTCTCAAAGCAACCTCTTAGCGCACAAGCTTGATTTGTTGATGCTGTTCTTCTCTTGCTCTTCATCTGTGCTGAGTCGAGCACGCCACGACATTAAAGGCGTGTCGTTAGGATATGGATCACAAGAAGCACGATTTTCCGTTGAGCGATGATGATATTATCCATCTAGTAAGTACAGCCACTGGTATTAGGAGGCAGATTCAAGAATAGGATGTGATCTGGATGACGGGTTCTGCTGATGGTGATCTAATGTTGCAAGCGAGTACTGCGAGAGAAACCATATACAGGGAGGGATTTATACGAGACCACCTGTGTGATTTTGTGCTATTACTGCTTAGCTGCTTACAACAAATGCAACATATTATACCTCGTCCTGCTACCTTTAGAATTCGTGCTGTCTACGTTTGATCTTACGATTAGCGGTACTTCTTGTCGCACTACAGTAAAGTTTTCAGGGTCAAAAGCAGATCTTAAAGCGTGCTACTTAGCCTTTTCCGTATTTCGTCAGCAGATAGAGATACGTTCTTGTGATCAGAAGTTCACTGTGCCTTTACGGACAAAAACAAAATGCCGTCTCCAAAGAGCAACTTCCAAAGGCTGCAACGCCGCAGCAGCGTTGGTGAAGCTATTGATGAGAATTCTAACGGTAAAGTTATGGTTGGTCAGGCTGGTTTGGTCCTCACGCAGAATATGGCTGAGCTTGCCGAATTTCCGCAGGGCGCTGCTGCCAAAGTATTTTTAATACCATTTTCTCGTAGTATCCAAAATTATATCTATCGGCTACGAATATGAATAAAGGCGATAAACACTGAACCTTTGAAGGGTTGTGGTGACGTGGTTACTGTCGTGTCGCTTCAGCGGTGATTTTCTTGTCGCTTCAGCGGTGACTTTCTTGTCGCTTCAGCGGTGACTTTCTTGTCGCTTAAGTGGTGACTTTTTGTGGCACTTAAGCAGTGACTTCTTGTGGCACTTAAGTGGTGACGTTTTGTGGCGGCACTTAAGCAGTGACTTCTTGTGGCACTTAAGTCGTGAGTTTTTGTGGCGCTTAAGTGGTGACTTTTTGTAGCGCTTAAGTGCGGCCCGTCCTTCGCGCAGGGAGTATATTCTTCCCCTTTAATTGATACCCGCTTCCTCGCTTAAGCGATACCTCCCTTCTCGCCTAACTGATACCCCCGTCCCCGCGTAACTGATACCCCCTTCCTGGCTTAGGGGTTATCTCGTTCCTCGCTCAAGCAACATCTCCTTCCTCGTTTAACTGATACCCCCTTCCTCGCTTAAGCGATACCTCCTTCCTCGCTTGTAAGCACTTGTGACGGCTTTGCTTCTTCACTACACAGGATGGGCCAATGCGACGGGTGAAAATGATTTGCACTATGGGTCCGAAGTGTTGGGACGTGCCTGTACTGGTAAAACTGATCGATGAGGGACTGAACGTGGCTCGTTTGAACTTCAGCCATGGCGATCATAAGGCGCATGGGCAAACGGTAGCCAATATTCGAGAGGCAGCCAAGCAGCGACCGGACAAGTACGTTGCGATCTTGTTGGACACGAAGGGGCCAGAGATTCGCACTGGGTAAGGAGTGATTGGCGTTTTAGAAATATTTATTGAGGCAACTTTTGTTCACGAATGGTAGAGCGAACATGGTATAACGTCCACCGCGCACCTGAGTACTTCGTGCACTGATAAAGAAGAGTGTTGTTCAAATTTGCTCATCCACAACCCAGTTTCCTGAAGGAGAAAAGCGGAATCAATTTGGTAGCCGGCAACTCAATAATTTTGGATACGTCGGAAGACTATGATACGTTTCAGGGCGACGAAACGAAGATCGCTATCACCTACAAAGCCTTGACTACAAGCGTGAAGCCAGGCAATATCATCTTGTGCGCGGACGGCGTTATCAACCTGAAAGTAGAGGAGATTCTTGCGACCGGCGTGAAGGTTCATTTTCAGAACTTCTTTAAGATTTATGAAGCAATAGGAAAATTTTCTAGATCTAGTTCTACATGATGCACATGTGATGAAAAGCGTATCAACCTTGCAGTAATATCGTTGAAGACCGTTTCTATCCCTAATCCTTCCATTCTTACATTATCGAATCCAACACACCAAATCCGCCACAATTACAACTTCAGTGCACGATATTGAACAACGCGAAGCTCGGAGAGAGAAAAAATATGAATCTGCCTGGAGTGTACGTCGACTTGCCGGTCCTGCAGGATAAAGATAAAGAAGATATCTTGAAATTTGGCATCCCGAATGGTGTCGATTTCATTGCTGCTAGGTACTCGATAGTTGTTTTTGTCTTCTTTTCGTAGTGGATTCTGGCGATTTATCTTAGTTCACTTTTGCAGTACTACCGGCTCTGATGAAGAAAGACGAAAAAAATAGAGACGGCACTAGTAGACTTTTTCATTTATCACTTATGCCTCTCCTTCTTTTTTGAAAATGTTCGTTATGTAACTACAACTATAATCAGTTTCGTGCAGAACCTGGGCGACGTGCAGATGATTCGCGAGACGCTGGGCCTGCGAGGACGAGGAATTAAGATTATTTCGAAAATTGAAAATGAAGAGGGTCTTCGCAACTTTGACGAAATTCTGAAAGCTTCGGACGCAATCATGGTAGCACGAGGCGATCTTGGTATGGAAATTCCTCCAGAGAAGGTCTTCATCGCTCAGAAAATGATGATCGCAAAGTGTAACCTAGCTGGAAAGCCTGTCATCACCGCTACGCAGATGATGGAGTCGTGCATTGTGAATCCCAGGTACTATGTCAACAATTTCCATTAAAGGAAAAAAGTGGGTTTTTTAGTGTTGAAAACACGAGACTGTGATTCTCAGACAAATAATTCTTCGTCAGTAGCATGGAGTAGTTTTATGTGGAGTAGTTATATCTGATGTAGTTTCGCATCACAATGTAATTCTTCATACAAGTAGCAAGGCTTTCCCAAAACCAACCCAACCCTTTACAGACCGACACGCGCGGAAGCATCAGATGTAGCAAATTCCGTATTGGATGGTACCGATTGTGTCATGTTGAGTGGGGAAACTGCAAATGGTGCCTTCCCGGTTCAAACGGTCCATACTATGCGTCGAATCTGTGAGGAAGCCGAGAACGCAATCGACTACGGGCAGCTGTTTCTTTCTATCAAACAACAGACGCTCGCAGGCGGTATTTATTTCTCTATTTCTAAATTCCTATTCCTGAAAAAGTGTATACGTCTGCGAATAGTGTGCTTGTTCCTACAAAAATTTATGTGGGCAGGGCGTTAATCAAAGTTTCTAGTGAAAAGTGCGGATAGGGATACAATCAAGACGTCGTCGCAGTAAGGTCTTCCAATCAACATAAAAACTGACTTATATCTACCAGGTTTCAGGACGATAGATTATGTTGAAGCTGTCTGCAGTAGCGCAGTTCGTACGGCATTGGATATGTCTGCACCGCTCATCATCGCCCTCACAGAAACGGGACAGACTGCTCGCCTCTTGGCAAAATTTATGAAATCGAAAAAGATGAAATACCTTCTACACGAGCTAAAAGTAGGACATCGGATTAATCAACTATACCTCATGTAAGCGATCAATCTAGCAATCCAATCCCTGAGTATGATGGTGTTGATGAGCACCAAGACCCTGGAACCTCTGAACAGGAAGATCGTCAGGATATATAAGGCTCAAGGATCGCGATAAGGCTCCAAGATCCCAGGCAAATGAATCCCATGAAACCGATGACACCAATAAAATCCCCGACGCAGCTCCCCCCTAAGTTCATGCATATCCCGCACCAAAAACCTGGAACTAGTTGATTTGTATGAACCTCAAGACCTTACAGGCTTAGGGGTTTAAGCTTTTGCATTTGTATAACATTCCGATTAGGATCGACGCGGAGCAGCATCCAAATCGCTGCCTTATTGTGTTCGTATTCTAGTACTTCAATTGATCAAGTAGCACGCGTGTGCAGGTTGGTCACTATGGCCAACTACATCTTGCTCCCTCCTCTATCATCATCTTGTAAAGGATCCTGAGTTTGATATCTCTCTTCATATTGGACCGTCCGATGCAAGCGATTCTTGCCGTGACAGCGAGTGAGATCACGGCACGCCAGTTGCAGATTGTCCGTGGGGTGCACGTTATGCTAACCGCATCCTTTCTTATGGCTCACGATGGTAAGTCATGTCGACCGATAACTTCTCTTTCTGTGCCCTTCTTGGAAACATTCATAGGAGAAAAGGGAATCACGTAAGAAATGACTTGTCGCGCGCTCCTCTAATTTTCAGGGCACTGACAGTGTGCTGCGAAAAGCCATCGATATGGCAAAAGAGTTGGACCTAGTGCATTCCGGCGATCAGATCGTGGCAATCCACGGACAGAAGGAAGAGTGCGCGGGACAGACAAACCTCCTCAAGGTTGTCCCCGTCTCCTAATCTTGTTGGGCAAGCGAAGAAGACTTCAAAGAGGAATCACGATCAAGCGATGAGGACTTCCGATAAATGAGGAGGAGGGATCTGAAAAGGCTCTTCTGAGGTGACTTTGCCAGTGCTCGTGTGAGGTGAATTTGGAACTTCAGATGGGTACACCCCTAGGAGGTAGAAGATGGACCTGATTAATACTGTCTGGCAGAAATGAAATGGTAGTAGAAAAAGTAGTATCAAATTTATTTGACATGGTCACATGGATTGTTGGCGGACGCTTTTCATCAGCAGGAGGGCTCTTATTCAGCAACTGTTGTATTAGCATTGCAGTATCTACGATAAGCCAGTGAGAGGCTACGGTTTAGTTTTCTAGTTCAGGCGAAAAAAGTAGCCTTAGCGACTTCTGAAATAAGTACCATAAAGGTTGCATATGGATTCCAGAATATGTGCTAAAAAGCACATGAATAACTTCCTTTCCCAATTTTGTTACCTGCCCACGAACGAGATGTACACGTTGGCGCGTCATCTTACATGAATACTTCGAATCCCTACGAGGCAGACACACACAACATAAAGAAACTAAAAGAGCGATGTAATAATTTTCAAAGTGAAGAATTATTCTATACATAGCACGTAAAATACCTATACGTATAAATACCCCCTGATTACAATGGACGTCCGTCTCATGTAGGTGATCGCGTCAGAGGCGATCAATGGTCCGTATCATCTTCCGAAATCTAAACATAGGCATACAATTCGGGCTCCGCGATCGAGCAAAATACTTTCTTGTGCCACGGTTATGCGAAGATTTATCTCGAGCGTCGCTGTGCGCATGAGACCTACACACGTACTCGCACTATCGCGTTGAGGTCCCAAGATTTTAGCGCTGGTAGTATCATTTTCCTGGAACTTTTCCGTCAGGCAGCTTTTCACATGACACGGAAGCATAAAGAGTCTATTGAACATGCCGGCGGTCCCGCTTGCATTTTGCGTATGTTGTTTTTACTCACAGAACATGATGTCACAGACAATTGACGCCTGCAGATCTTTGCGGGACGGGACATTTTTCCAAAAATACTCTTGGTCCAAAAATAGCAAAGAACGTTCGACTATTCAGTCGTTTGTATAAGTTTGAATTCCGGATGACGACCTTCCACATGTGCCACAGAGGAGCACAAAGTTCCGCCTGCCGCCGGTTTGCGAACTGGATAAAGCTTCGGCCGCTCTCTCAGTCGCCCCGGGTTACAAAAAAAATGTCTTGGACCTGGGATCTCCAATCCGGAAAAAAAATGATGATGTATAGCGCGTGACCTGGGATTGCGCCGGCTGAGCGGGGAGATGCTAAGCGAGGAGACCCCTGAAAGCAGGCGGTGGGACTGAATGAGCTACTCGGGAAACTAATCATCTTGTGTATTGAGACAACTAGCTGGAGTGATCAGAGTTGGAAAAAACAGGTGGTAGCGAAAATAAAATTGCTTGTAGGCAAAGCGGAATGAGCAGGACCCTTGAAATCGGTATTGTTGCCCTAGCAATGACGCGTAAGCTCTGAGCAATGGTACGCAGCATAAAAATGAGCGAAAACCTGTTTCTTCATACATCCAAGCGTTGGGCGCCTACGTGCAAGAAATGATGTGATTCAAGTAGAGTCAAAAAATAGCTCGATTTTTTCTCAGGTATTTACATCAGTGACTTGAACCAAGAAGGTGAATTGCTCGATTTTCTCTCAATTCGTCCCTGAGTAGCCACAAGGACTCTTCGAATATGTCGCAGGATCCTGTGGCAGACACGCGCTTTGGCTCCTCCGACGTGATGGCAGACACGCTATTACCCGGAGGTGGCGGCCAGACCCAGATGGACATAACTCGGTTTGGGGCCATTGGTGGCGGCATCGATGCAACGCAGCTACCAGCTGCACAGCACACGCTCATCGGAGGGGACCGAGGCTCCCCAAATATCAATCAAACAAGGCTGAATGGGCAACATCAGCAGCGCGCATTGGCAGGGCCAGGGGCGGAACTGAATACCCAGCTCAACCGCTTTCAGGAAGAAGCGGATATCGACGGACCAGCAGCCTTGGATCCTAAGATCGTAATACAACAGCCAGAAACGCCACCCAGAGCCAGCCAAGAGTTGAACGATGTCGCAGAACCAACGCCCCCTAGACCACCGAGCGTAAACTTTATCTCACTAAACATCAGTATTTTTTTCTAGGTATCAAGGATCCTATTTTAGATAAGCGCTACACCTCTAGTTCAGGTAGAATCATCATCAATGTTGTTGCGGATCATCATCATGTTCCTATTCGGACGATATGGATAAAGCTGTAGCAATGATGACCCGTGGTGTTGATTTCACAAATTAATTCTTCATTTCATTTGTTCATTTCAACAGGCGCCGGGCTACCAAGAGCACGTTGTGATGGAATGGACCTTCGATTGGTTACGATATTTGATTACCCTCATCGGCGCTTTTCTCTCTTTCCTCGTTCCTCTTTGTGCAGTCTCATTCCGAAACTCGGATGGGTATTTGTAGGGAGTTGCTGCTGTTTTATTAGACCTGCTACTAGAAGATCATCAAAATTAAAATTTATATTTCGTATCACCCTGCGCTTTACGATTAATCATTTCCGTAAAAGAGCCTACTTCAATAATTGCTAGAGTCGCACAGAAGCAACACAGCGTCTAGTACAGCAGCTTCAAAAAATTTCATAGTACCACCCCACAGCACTGCAGGTTTGCGGTTTGGCTATTGTGCACTTGGTTTCTCATACTTGTGACCGCTAGCGTTCCAGTGACAGGGTGGGAAGCCATTCGGCCGTTGAGTCAGGTGGAAATTGGCAACGCAATCTTCAATCCGCCCAGTGCCAAGGACGATGACCTTTATCTGACGGTACTGTTGGACTGCAAGACTGAATCTCGCAGATGCACCCCTTCATCTCATTCGTACAGAGGCGCAATAAGCAACGCCAATATATCATAGGACTCGAATACTCAAAATTTGCGAGTAAGCAACACAATAACCGAGTATCTGAGATTATTCCCTAGCGTACTCGGTTATTTCAGTTTTTCGATTAATCATCTCGAACTCCGTGTCCTCCTCAGAGGGATGAAGCTTTGTCGTAACGCAGGTTGCACGGCGTGACTTGTTCCTTTTCGTTATGTGGGTAGGAGTCCTACAGCTGTGTTGTTTTTTCGTCGTTGAGTACCCGATCGCCAGTCGGGCGGTTCTCTACGTCGTTCTCGGCTTAGCGTTCTACTTCTACTACATGACCGAGCTCCTGTTGAACAAATACTCGAACCATCCACGGCGACTCCTGTTTCACGCGAAATTCGCCCAATCACCTTTCGTACCGGACTCCTTTCTGGATGGCAAGATTGCAAGGACGTGGTAAAACTACGCTTTTTATTTCTCCCGTTGTCCGATGTTCTGTGGTGAACCGAACTGTGAAACTTTGTTATATTTATAATTCGGCTTATTAATATTGTCTCGTCCATACCACGCAGAACCCATTCTAAGTAATGCAAAGCCTGGCAGTATTTAGTGGGATGATGCATTAATGCGACGTGCCTTCCGCCACTACAACTACAGGTTGGATTTTACTCGTTTCGGGTTGTTTGTGTTTTTTTTCACGTGCGGAGTGGTCATTGGTCAATACAACCGCGAGCGCAGTGCGGGCCCGGCGCTGCAGATGGCGAACGGCCGGAGCTACTCCTACGTCGAGGCGACTGACGCGATGGAAGACCTGTACGATGGCTCTCTTTTCCGGTTCACACCGGACACGAAAGTGGACGCGTTTCGCTCGTTCGGCTACAAGGAAAACGCCAACACATACTGTAGTGCGCCCATTCTTGAGACAGCCACAGCAAGCGCCCCAGTGTACACATGGGCTGTGGGGAAAAATTGTTGCATGCCAAGAGGAGATTTCTGGTGCACAGCGGAATTTGCGTATTATAACTCGATCATTCTTCTGCTTCGCTGATTCTCTAATACTCTCCACGCGAAATATAGAAAACATTTTGAATTTCGTCGACTAAACTAATAATTCACAGCATCTGTTTTTTGTGATCATTACTTTATCCAGTCGAAACAATCAGGTATGAGGTGCAAGCGAGCGACGACGAACCATCAGTCCTTTGGGGCAAGACGGGCAAGACGCGCGAGGCAGTCCGCGCTTTTGTGCCGGATGCCGATCGGCTAGGGTACATCCGTTCGGTACGAAGTGCTATAGCCTCCTACGGGTTCCCGCAGATCGTGGATGAGCACGTGGTCAAGCTGGTGTTTTGGACCCCAGACGCTGCTGCCATTGAAACCTCGCTCCGAAGGCGAGGTGCAACGTTTGTCCTTGTCGTGCTGAGTCTTTTCCTGGTGCTTGCAGGTGCGTTCGCGCTGGCGCCTGGAGCAGGGATTGTGAGGAGGATTGTTGTAATTGATCGCGAGCGTCGCGGGCTGCGGTGAATACCCGAGATGTTTAAACATGTATACCTTGTTCATAATCCATGGTGATGATTCACACGCATCGCATCAACAGAAAGCACACATTGAGCCACAGGCTCGCATTACAATTCTGAATGAATGTGTTGCGATCACATGTCTGCTTGTGCGGACTTGAATTTGCAAGCTGCTTTTATAGCGAGTTTTCAACTACGCTGTTGCAACTGCAAGTAACATGATTGTTGCTACAGCACTAGATATTTCTGCTCTGTCGTGGATTGCTTTATTTTCGTGCGAGGCACCCTGTGTGATCTCTGCCTGGGCTAGAGACTCCGCTCTGGGATTGAGATGAATCTTCCGAAAAACTTGAAATCGAGTGCCCCTCTTTCCGGAAAGGTCTGGAGAAAAATTGCATAGCAGTATATGTGAAACACCATCTAGAAGAATGGGCATCTCCAACGAAAATTCATAGGTTACGAACATGAAATATCGTGGATGCTTGCTAAAACAAGTTTTGTCGTTCTGTGGTATTCGAAGGATGTTTTTGTGATGGAGCAAACTTCTACCTTTAACTATAGTTTACCTGACAATGGACTCAACGATGGAACTGACTTCGTGGGTCTGATCTATGACAACCACCAGTGATACAGGCCGGCTTCAAGACCCTTATCGAATTTTGGAGCTTTCTATGGTTGTAATTTCATAAAGCCAGTACAGTGGAAACAATGTCTACATCTCGTCTGGGCCGTGTGCATCAACCTGTTATTTTGACTTTAGGTTGTTGCATTCATTAAATCAAACTAGCCTCTGCATCTGGTAACCGCACCTCGACAGCATCTCATCCATCGTGGGACAGACGGAGACGGGCATCCATGTTAGTCGACGCGCATTGTCATCTGCAGGGATGCCCTGTTGTGGTGCGAGACAGGACCTATAACGCTTTTTCGCGAGTTGCTGTGTGTGCCACCTCTCCGGCTGACTGGACGGCAGTGCTGCAAGTCGCTGAGGAGGCAATACAAAAACGAAACACAGAGGCACCATGTTATATTATTCCCTACGTGGGCGTGCATCCGTGGTGGGCTAGGGCAGTGCACGAAAGTGAGAAGCAGGGGTTCGCTGTTGATGCAACACCTCCTGCAGGAGCATCATCTTCGGCACTGCCGGCCGCAGCATATTCAGGAACCACACAACATAGAGGAGGTAGCATTCCTCCATCAAGCATGGGGTCAAGCGGAGGATCAATCCCGTCTTCGTCTGGGCCCTCCTTACCGCCACAACCTGCAATGGTTCAAAGCAGCCATCTTGGTGTGCGCGAACAGCTGCGGGCTCTGTTGACGACCAATCAGGATCTGCATGTCGGAGAAATAGGCCTCGATCGTTTTCATGGGAAACGGAGGAAGGATTTTCCTGAGCAGGTAGAGGTGTTTCGTTGGCAGCTTGAACTCGCAACAGACTTGCAACGAGGTGTCCAAGTACACTGCGTAAATGCAGGAGGTGCACTCATCGACGAATACGACAGACTCAAGGCAAGGAGCGCCGAGGCGGCAGGGTAACAGATATTTGATGTCATAAGTACTTACTTCTAGAAAATGTTTGATAGTAGAGTTCTCAGTTCATGCCAATGATCCAACAACAATAACCGGCATTTCAATTGTGATTGCTCAACTATGCTAGTGGATTAACAAGCGGATGATTTTGGATATTGTGCGCTGAGCGTTACTCCTCATTCATTTCGCGCTCAGCCTGGCTTGTAGGGTCTGCTTCGCACACAAGGATCGTGTGTAATGAATTATGTCATGGTAGTCCCATTGAGACAGTAGGCCCAGCAACAGACGAAGCCAGCAGGTTGTGTCAGTATATGCGTGATCAATTAGGTACTTCATGCAATACTGGTTCATCCTCATTACCCTTTGCCGCTGTTTGATGTTTGAAAATATATCAATTTCTTTCCTGTCGACTAAAGTGGCGAGGCACCACCGCGTAGTTATCATAGAGAATTCCATTTTGCAACCTCTTGTCACTTCAGGTCCTTTGTTGCGCCACCTTGCACCGTTTTGCATTCGTACGCGATGGGCCCCGAAATGGTTGCGGCGTGCTTGAAAAAGGTCCCAGATGTCTATTTCTCATTGTCTTTTCATCGCGACGAAACGAAACTAGCACGCATACTTGAAAAAGTTCCTCCAGAGCGGATTCTGGTGGAATCAGATGCTCCGGCGCAAACGCCAGGGCCTGCGCTGAGTGAGATGCCAAGCGTGCCCAGTATAGGTGATGGCGGGATTGATGACGATTCAAAAGCGGGCGACATAGCTGGATCTTCACCGAAGCAGCGAAGGCGCTTCGTGGATGAGCGAGACGGAGAGGGTAGTGAAAGAAGAGGAGGTGACAACGACAAAATGGTTTGTAATGAGGTGGTTAATGACCCTGTCGATGCACACAAAATGCCAAAACCGACGGTACTCGGGTTTCCTCAGTACTGTCCGTGCTGCGGTCCTGGGATGGGTGGTGGCCGAGATAATGTCCCTGAAAATGTGAAGTATGTTATTGCTCAGATCGCGCGTGTACTTGGCAGAAGTGAGAGTGCTGTAATCAAACTTGTACACGAAAATGCACGAAGAATCTTTGCACCAATAGATCAAACATCGTCGAAAGTGACTTCATTGCGCAAAGAAGACGGCATTGGACAGGATGTAAAAGACGGAGAACTCTCTCTTAGAATGGTTCCGGTCTTGATCACTTGTTTGCTCGTGCATCACCTGAAGGAAAGTCATCGGTGGATCATACGATGCATTCGTGCAGTAGAATGTCCTAAGTACTTTGTGAACAAAAACGCGTCGGTTGTGATAGAACGGACTGGATGCGAATCTTTTCTGCCTAAAATTATCAGAATAAAAATAATGGACGTGATCCAAAAGATTGTGCGACCGTGACTTCGCATGCGAATTCGATCAATTCACAGCATTCAGATTTTATGATGGTGATAATGCAGCGTCGGAGAATACACAAATACGAATGTTACTGATGTTAGTATCTTCTGGAAGAGAAGAACTTGTACGCGAGATCGAAGTTATTGAAGACCCAATGCTTCTGCTGAATCATCCACCGATTGCCTCGGAAAACCTTTCAACAGGTCGAATTGAAAAAATTTGTCTACTTCATAATAGAAAACATTTTTCTCGCTTTGTTTCCACTAAGAATTTTTATTTTTGCCCGCACCGAGATCTGTAAGATCGATCTATCCTCTAGATCTACACCTTTTGTTATTTTTACTGAATAGCAAGTTGCACCGATTTTGTTCCTCTCTAACCAAACCCTTCATCTTTCTGTAACCAAGACAAAAAAAATGGGCAACGAACACAGCAGCATTACCGTGTCTTCCCGCAATCAGCAGCCGCGTGAAGTGCTGCTGAAATGCCGCATGGCCGACGATGGGGAGTGGTACACCTGGGACGACTTTGTGCGCCACTACAGTCATGATGCCAAGGGCCGCTGGGACCAGGCTCCTCTGTTCATGGAACGCCGCTGGTCCACGACCGACAGCAACTACCGTGACGCCCCATGGTTCTTCGAGCGCTTCGGCAAGGGAGGAACATGGGTAGAGAGTCAACCAACTACCAACTGGATTTTTAGAATCGGTTTAGTGGATTGTTTGACGTTCTTTATCTTTTCATAAAGAAGATTCTTGTTTCGTTATGAATCCACGAACATTAGAACAGTACAACTGAGAAAGCACTTGTGCTTGTTCGAAAACAAAATCTATATTCAATCTATAGGTGAACCACAACAAGCCCGGTTGGGACAGCGCCTCATTGGAAAAACGCTTGGGCGATGATGGAAAGTGGTACACGCTGTCTGGATTTCAGGATTTCTATCCGCACGACTGGGAAGACCGCTGGGTCGCCGCACCGCGCGAAGATCAGAGAAAGTACCAAAAAATGTTGGACTATGATAGCTTACAACGAACTACAGATCTACATGTAACATGGTAACTAGGTAGCACCCGTGAGGATTGCTGTTTCGGCAGATTTGAGTCTACAACCTGTTCATTGCAGAGTTCACTAAGAAGTCCTGTTCAATGGGAGTTCTACTCTGTGTGCTGCAATGGCAAACAAGTTGATGCATGCAAGTGAAGCACACAATGGGCTGTGAAAATTGTGCGCCAAATGTACTCGTCTTGGATGAGCATTTTTCTGAGCCATTTGCAATGTCCACTTTGTTTAAGGAGAGCACGCAACGATATTCAGGTTCGGCGATGATGGTTTGCCGCACGATGCTTTGTGGTTCTACCGCAAGAACGAGTCTTCCGGTGGCCGTGACTGGTCGAAGAACAGCAAGACTCTCTGGGATACTGCCACCACGGCTCCCCGCGCTGGCTCTTCCGTGTTTTCCGCGGCTGTGGCTACTGTCGCTCAGGCGCTGTCGCCGAAGCGTTTGGCCGATGACGGAAAGTACTACACGGAGGAGGAGTTTCGCAAGTTTTACCCGAGCGACTTCACTTTGCGCTGGAGCATTGCGCCGAAGCAGGAAGATCGTCGATTCTGTACCCGCACCAACGGTATGCACGATCCGCTGCACTTCTTCGAACAAAACAAACGCGCAGGTGGCGAGGACTGGAACAAGAATTCGAAGCCGGGATGGGACGGCGCGCCGTCGCGTGCGCCGATGTATTCAACCGGTCCGGCCGCTCCGGTCACTGCATACCACGCTGGAGGCGGCGGCGGGGTGGAACAAAAGCGTCTGGCGGACGATGGCAAGTGGTACATCTCGTTAATATGATTTAGTTTTGTCGTAACTAACCACTAATCCACCTGAGGAGTAAATAGATTCTCTTCAACACAACCAGCAAGAAATAGCATGCGAATTCTTGGAGTCAAAGAGGCAGAAACATTTTCGGCACGACAGGTACCCGCGCAGTGAATTTTTGTCCTTCTACGACAACCAGACCGAGCGCTGGGACAACGCACCCAAGTTCGGGGAATACCGCTATGGATCCGACGGTGTTGCTCATGACGCCGAGTGGTTCTACCGTGAGAACAAGAGAAATGGCGGTGACGACTGGAACAAGTACCGCAAGGCCCTTTGGGATGACGCTCCGAAATGCGCTACGATGCTTTCGCCGTCGATGCCGTACACCACTACTACGGAGACGACTACCACCTACTACTACTAAGCGCCACTGAACAAGTGGATATGGAGAGGACAACCAAGGCTGCACATCTAAAATGGAGAAGGTAACAGTAAGTAGTCGTAGGAAACACGAGAAACAGCGAGGAGGATAACCGGGGAGGAAACACGACGTCAATTTTGAAGAACGATGGCCACTCAATGAAGTGCAAAATGATGATGTTGTCGCCTCTAACCACTGGCGGTGATATTCAAATAAGTGATGTGTGAGGAAGTAACGAACTGTTAGTATGATTATCCTCAATACGCTTCAGATATATTCACTGGTGATGTATTGTCGATGAAATGAGGCCGAAGACTGCGAGAAGAAATTTCTTGAAGGAAGAAGAGTTGTTTGGATTTGAAAGACGAGGAGAGGCACTAATGATGATTGTGGTATATCAGTGGTGATTTTCCTCGCTATCGCACTGCTGACATCAAACTCTTCTCTAGAAGTAGAGGGATGGGTAATGGATGAACTTGATTTCCCGTCAATCAGTATTTCAAAATTTACATGTAGCACTTCCTGGAGCGGTGTATAAGCCCTTGTTTTTATTGCTTTCCGTTCACGCGAGGCGGGGAGGAGAGCTACAATTGTTTTTGTTGGTACAAACTAGTCCCCTGAAAGTCAGACTGGACATCAAAGTGGCATGTACTCGTCAAGTTGCCATGATCATCATGCATTGTCTGCTCAGTCCCACTTGGTAGTGGGTATTTTGCACCAAAGACGCATTTGATGTACCGAATTTTCGAAGCATATGTTGTCAAAGACCTGTAGCCACGAAAAGGAAAAGCCAAAAACACAGGCGAAATGCCACTCGTAACTTCAAGCATGCGCCAGGCACGTATGCTTGTTCCAGAAATATTGATGCATTTTCGCAAAAACGATCCAAGACAGAGATCGTTGAATGATTTAATGCTGTTCTGTTGGTCGCCCGCTGATGAAGCCTCAAAGAAAGATCCTAGAGAAAAAATTCAGCTTATAGTTTCAGAACAAAATAAGCCCTTCTACTTTGATATTTCGATGGCCTCATGTAAGAGGTTCGAGAAGATCTGCTTGCTAACACCACAGGATGGATCCTGGACAGCTCTGTCACCAAAAGTACGTAGTTGTTCAACCTTCTTATATGAAGATCGCCAAAGAGAAAAGCGCTCAGACACAGAGATAACAAGAACCGATGGATCTTGCCCTCAAGGAAATGATATTGCTGAATGTTCCAAAGGCTGAGAGACAACGTCGTTTCGAAGTTGATGTATTCTCACAATTTGACAAAAAGTGACAAAGGGACGGATTTATGGGCGTACTAGGTAGTACAACGATTTTATTGCGGAGTCGATGCAAGCTGCTGTTGTGCGAGATAGAAATTAGTTTTTATTAGTACCCCACTCAAGTCCTGATATTTCATTGTGATTTGTCTGCGTCCAACATTTTTTGATTGTGCTGCCTTACGAGGCAAAAGCAACTTCAACAATGGATGAGTCACTAGCGCATGTGCAGAAAGACCTCGACGAAAAGAAGGAGGACGCCGAGGCAGTGAAGCCAAAGAAGCAGAAGAACCGGCGAGAGAAGCCGTGGGATACACTGTCGAGCGAGGACAAGTGGAAATTCGACAAATTTACGGAGGCTGACAACCCCAGCGGCCTCCTCGAGGAGAGCTCTTTCGCGACTCTCTTCCCCCAGTACCGCGAGCAGTACTTGAAGCAGGTGTGGCCGGACGTGAAGGCCGCTTGCGAGGAGCATGGCGTTCGTGCCGAACTAGACTTAGTGGAGGGTTCGATGAGTGTGCGCACTACGAAGAAAACTTTTGACCCCTTTATTATCATCAAAGCGCGGGACCTGATAAAGCTGCTGGCTCGCTCTGTACCGTTTCCACAAGCGGTCAAAATCTTGGAGGATGAGACACACTGCGACGTGATGAAAATCAAATCCTTTGTGCGGTCAAAAGAGAAATTCGTCAAGCGAAGACAGAGACTTGTAGGGCCGAACGGGAGTACACTGCGCGCACTCGAATTGCTGACCGAATGCTATCTGCTCGTGCAAGGTATACGCAGTAGACTTTCTGACGTTCTTGAAAAAATACTTATGAATTTCGTTAAGCGACTCATATCCTCTTCACTACTACAAGCTAAGAATCAGTTGTGGATTATTGCGGCCTCTGCATCTTCGCAGCTCGTTCTCAACTCGAAGTCAAAAAAGCCGCTACATAGTTTTTTCCGTGCTTATTGTCGGTAAAAATTTAGGTATATGCTGACAACGTGTCCATAGCGCATTGAGTATCCTGATTATGTTCTTAGTATGTACAGCGACAACTTCCTTCCCACAATGAGTAGCGCCACTGTAGAAACAACGGACCAGCACCCTCACAGCTTCAACATCAGACAAATCCGTAGAACTCAGAAGAGGCTCAGGGAAGTCGTAGGTCCAACCCGAACCGACTAGCGTCATCATTATGCTCATACGACAACAGGTCAAACGTGCTGCATAATGGGCTCGCCGAAGAAGATAAAGTTGGTGAGGAGAATAGTCGAGGACTGTTTCCGAAATATTCACCCGGTCTACCATGTGAAAGAGCTTATGATAAAGCAAGAGCTTGAGAAAGACCCGGAGCTCAAAGACCAAGATTGGTCTCGCTTTTTGCCCAAGTTCAAGAAGCGAAACGTACTAAATTATTACAATTAATACTTGCTTTTGATTTTGTTTGGTGTGGGACGATGTTGACAACTTCCATCACAAAATGAAAATGCACAACATCCATGTTGTATGCAACAAGCATTTATTTGATCCATTCTAGAATGTCGTTCTAGATTTTCGAATGCGGATGATGTATTTGATGAAATTTTTTGACTACGTACAGGTTCAAACGAAGAAGTTGAAGAAGAAGGAGAAAAAGAAGAAGACGTTGTTTCCGCCTGAACAGACCCCAAGAAAGGAGGATCTGCAGATGGAAAGCGGTGAGTACTTTCTCACCGAGCAGCAGCGTGAGAGAAAGAAAAAAGAAGAGAAAATGCAGCAGCGAGCCGAGAAGACGGTGGAGCGAAAGCGGAAAAGAGCAGCGGCGTTTGAGCCGAGCGAAGAGCATAAGTCTGCGAAAGCTGCGAGAAGCGACGTAGTAAGCGACGCCGCAGCGACAGGAAGTTCAGCAAATACTAGCTCATCGTCTTCCACAACTAGTGCTGCCACCAGTACTAGTTCGTCTACTGGCAGCGGTGCGAATGCGGCAACGACACTTGCAGCAAAACTGAAAAAGAAGAGTGTGAAAAAACAAAAGCAGTCGGCTGCCAGTAGTGTTCTAATGTAGTAAGTTGCTGCGTATCTTCCACAAGTGTATTACAACTCATTATCATTGTCGATGCCCAAAATTCTCGCTGGTCGCCATGCAAAGTTGCTTCTTTTTCCTCTGGTACTTTTTTCCGTACTCCGCCGGTAGAGGGTTCGACTCTTGCCGCTCAGTTACGACGTTGAAGGACGTCAGGCGCACGCCGTTTTGACGAGTGGCTTCCGCCCGTGCCGACTATCGGCACGCACTGTTCTCTATCTATTTTTTGCTCACTGAACTTCCGCGTCTGAAACGTAGCGCACGGGCAAATCAAAATCATATAGAAGTCACTCAAGTATTGGAATCAGGGATCATGCTGAATACCTAAGAAACAAATAACTCCCCTCTCCTGCAAACCTGGATGACGTTCTCCCTTGATTCGCAAACTTCAACAGAAAAATGTGCTTCCAAGATCAACAAACGAGTTCAGAAATTCTTGAACAGACGCTCAAGTACGTAAGATTCTAAAAAATATAGTAAATACAAATAGTAGTGATCGCCTGGCAATGACATGAAGATCGTTCTTTATCTTGGTCTTTAGCCCTTGGTCGTACGAGATTTTGAGGCACGGTCTTTCCATGAGATGAAAAAAGTCCTCAAGCTCCTATGGCATCCTAGTACATGATGTTGCTTATGTGTGGATGATCTTGAGAAAGCAACATTGAAAACACGAGGAATTGTGCTTGCATTCAAAATTTCAAACTTTTCAATCTCAAAAAATGGCAGCAGCAGGGTTGATAGGAGGAAAAGCCTTCGTGGCTGCAGTTTTGGCTAGTAGCATAGGATCTAGTACATCACAAGAGTACATCAAGAGTATCTGTGTCGCGAGTAGAGCTGTGTAGACTAGCGTGACTAGCGTTCTCTTCATCTACGAAAATATAAAACCAAAATAAAAAGCTTAAACACAAAAAAACAAAAAAAAACTTTTTTTGTTCCTTCGTTGTTTTTCGAATTCGATATTTTCTTATTCATTCTGTACTAACTTGTTCTGACTATTGTTCGCTTATAGAAGAGAATCTTAATAGGAAATAGTTCTGAATACGAGTACGAAAAAAGAATCTATCGTATGAGAGGAGGAGACGTCAACATACTAATGAATGTATTTACTACATCAACGTACTACCGAAGTGAGTTATAGCTGACCACGCATCTCTGATAGTAGAGATGATAGTACTAAAAGAGTGATGTCCTACAAACGCTTTTGGTATCTTTCCTAGAAATAGATGCTGATACTACGCCTAGGAGGTCAATTTTTGAGTCGCTATGTGCCACGAAGGGTTCAATGTAACTCATAGAAGATGAATTGAAGTACTGATCTTTATGCGCATCGAGCAAGTAGCACAGGACGAAAGTAGTAGAACTCTAAATAGATACACCTTCATCTATTAGCGCCGTTTGCGCTGATGTTGTTGTTGACTAATAACTCCCTCATGATCTGACTCTAAGGTATTATATAAGCACTTGCTTAAAAACAATTGGAGTTGGATGTTGAGTATTAAATTTTAGAAGAAGCTAAGAAGCTTTGGTTCGACGAACGTATCGGGTGAGCACGCGTGAACGGGAAAGTTCGAAAGAAGGAGAGGCGTACCAAACAGGCAAATTTGAGAGTCGTAGAGAAGTAGACAACTCGCCGGGAATGGAAAATTCAGAAACAAGGTCTCTAGTGCTATAGTAGTAGAATCCTCTCTGAACGAAGATTTTTCAGAAATCTACCTTTGCGGGGTCGGCCTTGTAGTAAACAAACAAGTAGAGGAAGATTAATATGGTAACTCGTCGAACAACTACATCAGCCGGGCGGAGACGATAGCTGACGCATTTTCTTTTCGCTAGGAGTAGCGACGACTTCTGTTTCAACTCCCACCACTAGTTGTAGAAGCATCGGAGTTAATGCCAGTTGGTGAAATAGGAAATTTAGTATTTCGATTTCTTCAGGGACAGCGTTGTTAGTAGTAGAGACGTTGGTTTTAGTATTTACTTTGGTGCTGCTAGAAGAGCGCTTGGTTATACGTCGAGGGAAACACACAGACAGCAAGCTATCAATTTCTTAAACCCTCGTATTTGGGTACCGTCACATGTCTGAGACCTGATTGTTTCCGTGTGATTTATAGCCTAGCCTGCTAGAAACCCTGAGCCGCAACGCAATTTAAAATACTTCAACTGTCGCCGGTGTTATTTTTCCGTCGGTTGATCATAAGCGATAAGAAATCATACCCGCCGCGAAATCTTTATCGTGAGTATCGACTAACTATCGCCCCGCCAACATCGATACCCTCATATATACAACGAACCTCTGTACTCACTCTACGTCTCTCTTCTATACAACCGTATCTTGCTAACTAAATTTAACAAATAATTGTCATTTTCTTCACTGATTAAAATGCCAAAGGATGGTGTATCTCGTCGCGGCATTGTCGTCGGTCCAGTCAGTGGGAGGCTGCGTGAGGAGATTGATTCAATGATGAATTTCCAGGAGCTACAACTACGGCCGGCGTTTTACCACGAATGCATACCTCCAAACATCGATGTGACAAAATGTGACCTTTCGCATTAGTTTTTTTTTTTCGCAACATCAACGAACATCAACACGCGCACATCAACGCTGACGACCAGAAAAGAACAAAGAACGCACTACAGCCAGCACGCCTTTCATGAACAAGCTTGAAAAAGTAACAACAAAGAAGAACAAGAGGCACCACATCAACAAGAATTTCTATCCTTTTCACCTTCCTCCAACACTTACTATCAAAAACAACCTCCCGTGAAAAATACCAAACCCTGTTTCCAGAAGATACTACGATAGACGAATGCCACCACGAAATAAAGTAGAGGATTTTTCACTATCTTAGAAGACTGTCAGGAGACAAGGAGACTCAGCGTCGAACCACAGCTGGAAGATACTGCCTTGGTCGTGTGCAGCTCTGCGGTTTCACTCCTCAATTACAACACTTGCCAGCACCAGAACAATCGTCACATTTATTTCCGAAGAGGAGAACTTGAAGTACATTAAAACGAGTAGTTCTTTTTAGTCGAATAAGAGCTAAAGAGTTGTTCCACTTCCACATCATCTTGAGACTGAGGACTACTGGGGCTGATGAGCCACGCGGGGGACGGAGATAGCTCGCTTGGCAGCGGCCCACCGGGTCCGCCTTCGAGGGAAGATTCGTCCTCTTCACGGACAACACCAGAGTCGCTACAGCAGCGCGCAGAGGAGGTAGCCGCCGCTGCGGGAGAGCAGCTAGCGCGAACCGGGTCCTCAACCGTTCCTTCGGGAAGCAGCATAGGAGATGTGGTGCGCACAACCAGTGCAACGCCACAGCCTCTCCGCGGAGAGAGAGACAATCGAAATATGGCGTCAAGGATACGCCTAGACGGTGGCCTTCACGGTCCCGATGTACAAGTGGCAACAGGTCCGCTGGTGGGCTCTTCTGCCTCCTCAGCTTCCTCAGCTTCGTCGTCCTCGAGATCGCCAATGAAGGCGGAGGTGCAAAGCAAGCTCGCGCGTGCAGACAGTCAGATGTCAGGGTAACAACTTGTTTCTTAGGCGTGCTTCTTTTGCAAGTGTATGTACTATTCTAAGATTATAGTTGACAAGCAGGAACACCGTACACGAGTTGCGCTATATAGTTTGACATGGACTTCCCATTGATTTTTAGTTGGGTGAGTGGAAGTGGGTGCCACGACGGGTACTACGGTATTCAACTTTAACCAGCACGTGACTGTTTTCCAATGCATTGATTTACTTTTCTATCCTGCAGGGCTGATTCGCAAAGCGGTAAGAGCGGAGGGCTGCAGCAGATGCTTTCAGATTTCATGGATCAAGCCCACCCAGGGAGAGCAGCAAGCATGAGCTCAACCCAAGTGATACCCGGAAGTACCCAAGTAATACCCGGAAGTGCTCCTGCGGGGCACCCTGTGAGACATGCGGAGCCTGCTCTAACTGGGTCAAGTACTATAACAACCGGTCCCATATCCCTTCCAGTGTCCTCCAGCGTCCCAGCGGTACCCGTCGTTGTCGCCCCAAGAGTGTCATTGGACCCCATACCCGCCAGAAGTAGCAAAGCTGAAGCAACGACCCCACCAGTCACGAGCAGGTGAGATTTTCTTCGCCCCGACGTTGAATGATCCTAGTTTTTTCAGAGTTCTTATCATGGGCGCTACTGATGGTAAAATCTGTTACTTGTCTTCAAAAGTCCTCGTTTTATTATACTTGACCTTGTTGTTTGCGCACGATACCTCTTGTACTAGTATCTTTTTTTGTGAATATCTTGAACAGGTCATTTAACTTTCCAACTTTTGCATTGTACCTCGTGATTAGGTCGTCTACTACTTCTACCACTAGGTCAAACGAGACATGGACGGGTAATAGTAAAGCAGAAGTGAAACACAGCATTCAAGCGTTAAGAGCAGAAGTTCTAGCGGAGGATGCGAAAATGCGGCGAAGCAATTCCTTAACGACACTAAAGAAAGCACACAAACACGATGAGGAAGGTGAGGATAATGATAATGATATTTGACAATGATTAGTTGAATCCCCAAAGTTATTAAGAAGTCTGTACTTTGGAACTGCCCCGCTGTGGGTTGTTACAATTTATAATTTTCAAGCGCATGATATTTTTACGCAAAGCTCATCTCCAAGAACATCAATGTAAAGAATCACTTCAACCAAGGATTCATTTAGTTCACCTGTTTGATCCGCATCCGATCAAAATCAATCTGGTATGTGTCCCGTACAAAAAAAATAGACTTCGAGCACCCTATTCGCGTTGCTCGGTGCGAATTGAATGCAGTGCAAATGCGGCCAGTGGTGAACTCGGAACTTTGTGTTTACATTAGTCTGAAGGACATCCGCACAAACGCTCACTGGGAGGACAAGCCAGGACAGCGCCCGGGAGAGCGCGGCAACCACGGCGGACACAGTAGTAACCACATAGCTGACGTAGCAGACACCAACTCGACTAGACCCATAGTGAACTACCGCTGGTCCCGAGGTCCAGTGATACATCCGTGTGTCTTCCACAAACACAAGACAAGCACAGTGCGCGACACCAGTAAGACGTGGCAATTCTATTGCGGTCTAGAATGTTTGCAAAGAGGCTGGAAGGGACTTCCCAAAGATCTATGGCTGGTACAACTTTTATATGAACTCTTTCCGAATCTACTTTTTTGTGACGAGGAGTCATTGTTGTTCTTCTAGTTTTCCTCTGGGCTCCGAGGAATCATTTCGCAAACTTCTATCTTCCAAAAAGGATTTTGATTTGGATGAAATATAATATAAGTATGAATTCCCATTCCAACATAGGATCCGGACAAAGAAAATTGGACACTGCAGTTAAAGCACGATTGGGAGGTGATATCAGAAGAGCGAAGCTACTGTCCAAGCGTCCACGACATAAACCGACCCCTCAGGTATAGAATTTTTCTTTACTAGGATAGTAGCCGGACGTAAAACCCAATAATTAATATGATGAAATTGTCGGGGTTTTTTCGCGCTACAACTTCTGAACATTCTTCTCCTCACTCCTTGCTCGCTGTTTTTAGGGAGAAGTTGTAACCTATTGCAAACCTTGATCCTTATCCCCATAGCGAAGGACATCAATCAACCTACCAGCTAAAACTTCAACTTTTTCATCAGGTTCGAAGTGTTGCCACTGGACAAAAATGGAGAGCCCATCCCGAAATTTGCAAAGTCCTGTACTACTGGAACGGTTATTCCCACACCGAAAGAAGCCCGAACTCGTAGGATGCTCTCATTCGGGGGCCAATTTAATGCTGCGTGGTTGCAGAAGCAATTCAAGCTGATGAATTGGAATATTCTAGCGGATGTTTATGCGACAGAGGCGCAGTATCCCTACTGTGAAAAATTCGCGATTTCCTGGATGTTCCGAAAACATCTTATCATAAAGGTACTTCCTGAGAAAGTCTGAACAACTCGTCATACATGTATAGTACCCACATCTTGTATCTTCTACTATTATCGCGAAGCGAGTGTCAAGTTCAAGTTTATTTGTCCCGTTCTCGGTGCAGGAGGAGGTGTTGTAACGAATGAAATTGTTCGGCTCATACTGCTTCATTTTTCAAGGTGAAGATTTTAAAGACTCAATCAAAAAGATTTGGATTGTAGAATATTTTTCATTTCGTTTGTGAAAAATAAAAAGTCTATCGTCCCGCAGGAAATCAAGTCGATCAATGCGGACATTGTGACTTTGCAAGAAGTGCAGCAAGATCACTATGAGGAGTGGTTCCGGCCCCACCTCGTGGAGCAGGGTTACGAGGGCGTGTACCAGCAGAAAAAACACAAAAGTCCTCTGTTTCATCGTGGCAAATTCTGTGTCGAGGGTTGCGCCACCTTCTTCAAGAAGGAGCGGTTTCGACAAGTAGACCAGGCAGTCGTGGAATTCGACGAGGAAGCGAAGGGCAGGATCAACGATCCCGAGGCGTTGCAACGACTTTCGAAAGGAAACGTCGCTTTGGTGCTCACGCTGGAAGACCTACAAATCAAACCGGACCTAGCGGCATACCGCGAGCATAACATGAAGCCAGAGGTGCAGGCGGACCCAAGCAAACAAGTACAACCCTTCTAGAGCACCTGATGGGCGTTATTGACTGTTTACGCTAAAACAAGAACTCATGGACAATAGTGGAATTATAAGACTTCAATTAGATGATAATGATAAAGTCGAAACAAGAAGATCATTACTCTTGATACAAAAAAACTTCTTAGCTCGCCGAGCCCACTGTTGGCACGGACACCGGTGGACACCTTGTTGCCGTAGTAAACACGCATATTCTCGCTGATCCTGAGTACACAGATGTGAAAATATGGCAGTCACAAGTGCTTTTGGACTGGCTCCAGAATAATGTCGCAAGCGAAACACCTCTCCTAGTCTGTGGCGACTTCAATTCGACGCCGAAAAGTGCAGTGTAAGATCTATTTAAGTATTATGCTGTGTTTCTAGAAGGGGCGTTAGATTCTTTTCTTTTGTCTAAGGTCCACTTGATTATTTATTGTGCTGTTTTTCAACTTGTTGTGTATGTGTTTCGTAGCTTTAGGCTTAGCAAGAAGTGCTTTTTTCTTGAATCTATAGTTCTCGTGGTTTTTAATGCTTCTTCAAAAAACGCAGGTATGAGCTTTGGCACGACGGTCACGTGACCCCAAATCATGATGACATCATCAGTCGCCCAGACGTCTGCGGTTTGTTGTCCAATCCGCTTTTATTTTACCATAGCCTCCGCCTCATGTCGGCGTACGAGGCATGCAGTGGCAATGTAATTTCTACATTTAATATTCTTTTCTACTAGAATGATTTGTTCAGTGTGGTTTCTGATAAAAGTCGTTACTTGATTATTCTGCAAGCAGCATCATAAATACATAGGAACCTTCTTGTTACACGAGTCAGAAAGAAGTAGACAATATACGCTTACTTCCTTACGATCAACAGGAAGCGCAATATACGAATTATACGGAAGACTTCAAAGGCACACTAGATTACATCTGGTTCAGTCCCGACAAAGTATCTGCCCTCGCAGTGTCCGCGGTCGACGATGAGCAAACGCTGCAACAGGAGATGGCACTTCCCAGCTCGACCCGACCGTATTCATCACTAGTTTGTTTTTCAGTCCGCAATGTCACTGTCACTGAAGAGAATGTGGATTTACGCTCAACAACCTTATACGTAGATACGCAAGTACTCACCAAGTACTACTTCGTTGCCGAGGTGGACTTGTCCTTCTTGTAGAAAGCAACGTTGGACGTATCCTGCTTTTATTCCCCGATCTCACAGGTCCGATCATATTTCTCTGGTGACGACATTCATGTTCCGAGAACCACCGACCACCAGAAATGGCGTCCAAGACATTGGTACTTTTATCATAGACACGATATTGGTACTTCTATCATAGCCTCTCAAGATGTTTGAACAGAATGTTTTGTTATGAAACACGAACACGAACACTATGAAAAAAGCGTTGTACTTTAGCGAGGAATAACTCAGATCATTTCTTTTTATTAATTTTTGTCTCGATGCTGAACACTCACAACGCCCTCCATACAGCCGACAAACAAGCGGAGACGATGACAAATCTGCGACAAGCGAACCAGGCGAAGTATGCGCGTCTCTTCCACGAAACCTGGGCGTACTAAAATTTTAATCCTTCTTATGATGCTTCTTTTACTTTCGTCGGAACAACATCAAAAATATGTTCTTTATTCATCTTGTCCTGGTTTTGATGTCGTCTTAAGCTACATGTCAAACATCTTCGTAAATAAGAATGTCATGATGGTCCTCTCCGTCTGTAGTGAAAATCATGAGAATTTTTGATATTTGTTTAGGTCGTCGCCGCCAGAATACTTTGGAGATCATAGCCAACAGTTCGGGTATAATGGTTTCTGGAACCAGGACTATGGCGGGGGATGGACCCCTGCTCCTGTGCCCGAAGAGGGCGGCTACAATCCCCAGCACGACTACGGAAGCTACGACTGGTCCCAGCACGACTACCAGCAACATCACCACGGAACTAGGGCCAGCAAACGAGGAATGATGAGTTTTACAAACCCTCTCGGTGGTTCGAGCGCACTAGGAAGCGGGGGAATCAGCTTGCAGGGACCAACCACCACACAGGCATTACGGGACGCCGCGCCGTGGACACTCGGACAGCTGGATCCTGGTGCGAGCGCCTTCGGAGGTAGCGCCGCGAGCGAGTTTTCGAACGGAAACAAATACAATGACCACAACGGCAGTAACGCGAGCTTCTCCCCAGAGAAGATGCCGACAGAAAACGAAATTAAGTGGCGCCGCTTACTAGAACCGCAACTGCACCACCCACAGGACACCGTAGCGATGAATGCAGCGGCCGTGGCATCGGCAAGACAGGACTCGCTTTTGTCGGAGGAAGATCCGATGCGAAGACCACTGTCGGCGATGGACCTCTCCCAAAGCAGTCGTGCCAAGCAGGACGTGGATAATGTGACCTCCAGCAGTCTCAACTTGTCGGGCCTGGGTGGCGCAAGCCAGGCATTAGGCGGCTTCCACGACACGCCCAACAGCCGTCGAGGATACAGCGACGACGACGACAAGTGGCTCACCACCCTAGCCGCGTCACAGCAGGGCGGGCTGCAGATGACACATCAAGCAGGCGTGCTGGTTCCGCAGCCAACCCAGGCTGGAGCACCCCATGTGGCGGCTTTGTCACAGCTGACGGACCAAGAGCTGCTGCACAACACGCTTCTTCAGGAGCAACGAAGCGATCACGCACATAGTATGGCCATGAGCATGTCTATGGATGCCACTCAACAGCCACCGCAGCTTCTTGGTGGGGCTGATCCGCACATCCCCGCTGCGCACAACTCACACCTGATGGCCCATCACGAAGCAACTGCTTCCTACACCGCAGACCAACGCATGATGGAGCACATGCGGGCACATCTGGATGGATCACAAGCCAGCGCAAGCACGTCGGCAAAAGGCGGTCTCTCTGGTCCAGTCGTGAGCAGCAGTTCGTCTTCAGGTGGCGGTCTCGGAGGAGGCGCCATTCCACTTGCAGCTGGTGGCCTCTCAGCGACGAGTACAGGAGCAGGAGCGGCCGGCGCCGCTCTCTCGGGCTGGCCAGGGTCATCAAGCAAAACCAGTTCAGGACCAGCCTTACCGACAGTACCTCCACCTCCTCCTCCGCCGCCACCACCAAGCTTGCCGCCCGTTTTCCCACCGGCCACGGCAAGCGCAGAGCACCCGCCGCCGCCACCACCAAGTGATGGCGTTGTCGGGTTCCCGGATGATAATATCGCGACTCTCTTGCCTCCCCCTAGCAGTCAGTTGCCACAGCACCTTTCCATCCACGGCGGTCCTTTACCATCCGCTGCCAGCTCTGGCATTGGAGGAAAGAATAGAAAGAGCCTGGCTATTAATGATGGAGGATTCCACCTGCAGAAAGGCATGATGATGAAGGGCACTGTACCACTCGGAGGCGACGGTGGCGGAAGCGCAGCTTCCAACAGCGGTAGTCTCATGAGCAGCAGCTCAACAACGCAACTGAATAAAGCCCCAGTCGGCCGCGCTCTTTACGAGAGCTTCAATCGCAACCCAAGAACAAGTGGTCCAAGTTTGCAGTCAACGACCAGTAATCCGAATATTCGGCAACTGAAGAGCGGCATGGGTCAGCAAGTGCTTGGCGGCAGCGGCAATGATTTGTACGGTGGCGGCAGCGATATGGGTGGAGCAGGACCCGTGTACAGCGGCTTCAATGATGGGCGACCGCGGTCCCGAAACGACAGGAATGACCAGTACGAGGGTAACCACAGGCAGCACGACGTTTTCTCGCCCGGAGACGACTCCTTGGCGCGCGTGTCAGCAGGCGAGGACGCACTGAATTTGTCAGGGACGCGATTGCTTGAGTGGTCGAGTTCCGCACCGCCAGGCCTCAGAGCAGTGGGCGGCGTTGCGGACGCGCAAGGAGCTGCGCGGGTGAGCACCGCCGACGGAGACTGTGGAGTCCAATCAGCACGTGCAAGTTCGTCTTCCGCAGGCACAAGCAGGACCGCGGACGCGAATCATGAGAAGCGATCTTCCTCTTCCACCGCTGAGAACGGAGCAGGAGGCACTGCGTACGACTACTGGCAGAGTGCCTCGAGCGCCAGTAGCCGAAATCCACAATATTCACCAGATGACCGTGAGTCGGTGTTGCCTTTTTCAGGCGGCGGGGGCGTCAGCCGTGAAGATTTTCCTATTGTCGAGAGTCCGCCCTTTCCGTCAGATACTTCAGAGTGGGGCACCAGTCCGGGAGACGGCATGTACGCAGGCAGCATGAGCGGCAGCGGCGGAAGCCAAGCTCGTGTCAGCAAACTACCCGCAGTAAGTGCCAATGGAGCTTCAGGACACAGCGGGTTCGCCTCGAATTCAGCAAGCAGCTCTTCCAGTGCGGCAGCAACAACCTCCTCAGGGTCACAATCACAGTACAACTCCGAGCACCAACAGCTACAGAGAAGTGGAGGAGGCCAACAACAGTCTGGAAGGAATAGCAGTTCAGGTGGAGGAGCTTCAATGCCGGCCTGGGGAACTATGGACTCAATAAGCATGCAAAACAGCGTTCTTGCCTCACTGTCTCGCGATGTGGTCTCGACCACGGCGCGCGACAGGAACGGTTCCACCTGCTCTTTCGGTCGCAGTACGCATCCAGGAGAACAAGATGGCGCAAATTTCGACGTCGCAAGTGGCGCAAATACCAGCCTTTCAGGTGGCAACACCACAAGCAGTGCTTGCATGAAGATGAGTATGGTCCCGAGCAATACAGCGAGTGCTGCCAGCAGCAGCTGCTGTGCTCCGTCCTCGAGTCTCAACGCAGGAGGTCCAACAACAAGTGAACATCAGGCTGTGCCCGCGCCAGGGACGCATGCTGCATCACACATAACGCGGGACAACATCCCATTGGACGCGCCACCAGGTCTCTCAGTGGGACCACCACCTGGTATTTTGACCACAGGATCGGAAGGACCTACGCCAGAATTTTCCTCGCCGTCATTGCCGCAGTACCCAGACCGACCGACACCGACAAATTTGTACTCCCGGTTCTCCGAGGCCGTGCAGCATCAACAGATGGCCGCTTCTTCCGTGAACAACATGCAGCACGCGAACAGCACGAGCTCTTGCACCGCAGCTTCGTCTAGCAACGGTAGCCCACCCGCACTTGGCAACGCTACAGCCGCAAAAATGACACCTGGGGTAGACTATGGCCCCGGAAAAGACTGGAAGGACTACAATGGACCTGGTAAGGATTGGAAACAGGCTCAGGAAGGCCAACCACAACATCCACAGCAGCGCAATAATTTCGCAGCAGGTGGCAGCAGCTCATCCTCTTCCTCGGTGTCGGCCTCGTCAGGGCATGCTTCGTATAACAACAAGGACTGGGATGACCGACCGCCACCATGCCTGGATCCGAATCCGTCGGCGCCACAGAGTTACGCAGGCAGCAAACAGCCGTCAGCTGTTGGTGTCGTTTCGAGCGCAAGTCCAGTACATACGAGTGTTGCTGCGGCCCCAGCATTACATATGAGCATACCCGGCGCGCCGCCTGCACTATCAGGAGGAGGATGTGGGAAGGGCGGGCCGGTAAATCTTCCATCTGTGCCACCGCCACCGTTGCCGTCGAATTTCTGGGCCAACCCGCGAGCTCCGATGCCACGAGCCCCGCCGACTGGCGTGGACCAGTTATCGCAAATCGGTTCTGTTCCACCGCAGAAGAAGCTGCTTTCACCCACTGGAAAGGCTGTGATGGGCACCGCGCCAGCCAGCGCTGCGAGCCACACAACAAGCAGCAGCACTATAGGAGCCTCAACAATGGGATCCAGTGCGCCGTCACAGCCTCCGCCAGGTCTTTCCGGAAAGCTGGACCCACCACCAGGCATCTCTCAAGCGGGACCTCCGGGAGCTCTCTCATCGTCAGTGAACAGCAGCACTGCGTCTGGCGGCTCTGGCTCCACCACCTCCACAAGCAGTACTATCACGACTGCGGTAACTACCTCCAATAGCAGTGTAGATGGAGGCTCCTTTGTGCGTGACGTCCGGGACAAGGACATGCTTCACGGAGGAGGTACTTCTACTACTGCACTAGATGAGAACTTTCTATGACGAAGACACGCATGTTTCTTCTTTGCTGATTCAAACTCTAATGGAGTAGTTACATACAGTTTCATAAGGAACGTTGAGCAGAAGTCTTGTGATTCTGTTGAATCAACCCTAAAAAAGTCCATTCAGTGTAGCTACTTATTGTGGTTATGATTTACCGTAGTCACATGGGGATAAATATGGATGTTTTTCTATCGATCAGGTGCTGGTCAGCAAAACGAAGAGGGAAGCAAAAGAGGCAAAGGAGGTGGCAAGCTATAGCATTTTTTCGCACGTTGTAGGAATGACAGGACTCGTTCACATAAGGAGACCGCTCTGCTGGCATCCGGTAGCATCATCGATGGTTCAGAGGAGGGGAAGGAACCTTCATCTTCCTACTCGATGCCAGTTGTAAGTACTTAACATCATGATCATAGAGATTTCGGACATCTACTATCTCCTCAAGTGCCCCCACTTCCTTATTTCAGGAAGTGGATGCTACTCGTGCTGAGATAGCCACTTACATCCTTGCTTCATGTTGATTAACAAAAATGTCCACGACCGCTGCTGTCACTTCTACATGTGATGAAGATGTCAAGAGTTTTTATCCACACGACGACAATGAATATGGAGGAGAAGATCACTCTACGTACTTTTTGTCTTCACATACCGCTAGTCAACAACTCTATTTGATGACACAAGAACAACAACGAACTCCTTATGATATCCTAAAAGCCCTACTCATCTGTGTGTTGTTGACGTGATCTGATATTAAGGAGGGTGGTGTCCGAACCCAAATAGGAGAAAGTTCGGACCACTGCTGTACTCGAGTGATTGATCTGTGGCGATCTTTGATTCTATCTTTGATTCCCCACCTTTTCGCTCCTGTTTTATTTTATGTTCGCAATCATATGACATCCGCTTATCAAACCTGATGATCCACATTCATTTATCGCGGGGTTGTTGAAGAACATCGCATGAAAAAATGAAACAAAAAATAAACCAAAATATATATAAAGACTTTCCGCGACGCAGCGACCGATACGCTGGTGTCTATGCCCTTCTTTGGGTATACCTCGTTATGGACACAAAAGTTCACAGTGTTGACTATGGCAACGCCGGTTGTAGTTTCTTGGCAGAGATCGTATCAAAGGTCAACAAATTGTGGGAGATGGGGTGTCGCTTCCTCGTACCAGGACTCCTCAGTATTTTATAAGCGATGTCCATGTCGTGCTTCCTCCAGTGATAATCGAACTCGAGGCGATAAATATGAAGATCGGGATTTATCGGAGCGACCCACAAAAATAGGAGAGAGAAACTTTTGTCATCAGCAGAGTGCAAGATAAAGATTCTTTCTTTCAGAAACAAAGGAGCGTATACTTCTCGTTCTCCACTAAAAACCAGCTTCAGAATGTGAATATCCATTAGCGCACCTTGCCGATCATCAATATCCAGCAAGTAGCGACATGGATACGATAATTTCACGCTTTTTCGTTTATGTCCAATTCCAAAAGTAGTTTTCCGATTATAGGCTTGCCTGAGTTTTTTTTTGTTAGTCTCACTTGTTCACTCTCAGTTTTCAGTAGTGCTTTACCTGAAGTCGTCGTTTTCTCCATTTTGCGTTAAGTACTTATCCACACTGCGTACTAGAGGAAAAATGAAGCGCGCTTCTCGAGCAATGAGCAACAAGGATGGCGGCGACGATGACAGAGATCATCTCAGTGGGCAAGATCGCAAGTTGACGGATAGCGATGATGAACCTCTGATGAAGGTTGCGAAGGCTGAAAAAGAACCTGCTCCCAAGAAGGAAGTTGAGGCGCCTTCCGCCAACGGCGCGCCCGCTAAGAAAAAGAAGAAGTCATCTGCCTCCGCTCCCCTACCTGCATTTATTTCTTTGGCGGAAAATCCCAAGCTGAAAATCAAAAAGGGTTTGCCGACAGTCGGTAGTACGACAGGAACATCAAATGGTGGCTTAGGACGAGTTGGTGTGCAAGACAATTTTTCCCATCTAGGAGAAGGCACTGCTAGTAGAGGGAAAAACGGAACCTCGTCTGACGATGCTTTGCCGGTGAAAAACAATGGAAGTAGTGCTAGCGCGACTGCAAGCATGGACAAGAATAAGAATGGGAGTAGTTGTGCAAGTGCTGCAGCAAGTAGTGCCGCTGCAACTTTAGGAGCAACTACAGGTACTGGTGGTCCTGCTGCACCGGTTGTAAACACTAGCAGCACTCCGTTTTACGAGCGGCCTGCTTACCTTGATCGGCTTACGCCTGCACAGAGGGCGCTACGGGAAGTGCGCGCGAATTTCTTGTACCGGGAGTTGCAGTTCGTAGATGCCGAAGAAGCTGACTGGCGCTTAGAGAATGAAGTTTTAGCGTATAACCCCAGTGTGATGGCTAAGCGTGCAGGCGAGTTGAGTCCGAGGACCGCTGCGCAGCGTGGCATCCAGAAAATCACGAAGACCAGCGGCCGTGCAATGAAGCAGGACCTAGTTGCTCGCATTCTCTGTCGCTGGTGGTACGCTTTTCCGGAGAACGTGATTACGGAAGCCGAGCAGCGAGAACGCAGTCGCGCTGGGCTGGAGCTGCAAGGCTTGACAGAGCTGTCCCTTTCCGAGTTCTGGAGCAAATTCGGAGAGCACGCCGCTGGCGCTGACGAAGCCTCTGACAATAGTGCTCGCGGAGGTGGAAAGGCGGAGAAAGCAGCGCGAAAACTCGGTTTTAGCGATGAAGATGCAGCTAAAAACGCTGACGGTGAGTCAATAAATGGAGAGCCAACTTCGAGCGCCGAGAAGGGCAAGAAAGAGATGAAAAAGGGCGGCAAGAAAAGATCATCTGTCGCTAGCAGTGCAAAAGCAGATCAAGATGAAGCGGATGGGGACCGAACGAAGTTCGTGTATTCTTTGAGTCAGTTTCCTGGTGTATTCCGAAATTGCGAAAACGAGCTGTTTGATTTCCGGCCGCAGCCCCGCATCTGCTACGCGTTCCTGGAGCGGAAGCCAGAAGCCGAGCTACGCCGCATTCTCAAAAAAGCACTGGAAGCGCAGAAAATGGCTCTAGAGCTTAAAATGCAAAACGAAAACAGGTGGAGCTACCCATACGATCGTGCGCTCATCCTTGATTTGGAAGGGCAAATACGGGATCTGAGAAATAGCTAGAAGGGAGGATGTGGAGGATCGATTCATTATAAGGATTTTACTACATCGCTCTCGCGTTGGACTTGCCTTTTTGTCAAGCTGGCACGCAGTGGTCAAGTAGAAAGTGAATTTCGAGCATACAACATGGGTTTTCCGTCCTTTTTTGATTTTTTACTTTTTAACCTGTACAGAAGTAGCGCGCATGCTGCACAAACCAAGATGAGAATCCTTCAGCATGCGCGTCATCAAATAGCAATGGTAATATACGGCGCGATCGAAGAGTTTGGCGCTGTTCTCCGCATGTGAAAAATGGGTCGTTATCTTCGTCTGGTAACTTCTCGGGGCAGCGGTTTTGAGAGCAAAACAGATAGTCCGGGAGCCACCTGTAGTCATTTTCAAATTGAACAAAAATTTGCAATCCCTTTTTTTTTAGTATACCATCGCTTGACAAGATGGGAGCATGATCGTTGGGGCAGAGAGACAGAGAGAGTAGCTTGCTGCCAGTTTGGAAGCTGAAACAGATGTCAAATGGTGATGCGCAGGGCCATGGTTTAATATAGACTCGAATATTACACCCCTTGTGAAGTGGCTTTCAAAATACGCTTTTTCGCATCTTCTACTGAAAATCTTTTTCGAGTATACGACATCAATATCTAACTGTTCTGTGTTAACATCAAAAAGAGATATTCTGGTCCTTCTTCTACTACCTACAGGGTGTAACTTACTTCAACTCCTGAGAACAACAATTCATCGTCACCGTAATTGTTTAGAAGTTGTACGACTTTGTTTACCAAACAACTGGAAGGATTAATAATGAGCGACTAACGAAATGCCGAAACCGGGGAAGAAGGAGGCGGCGAAGCCGACTGGCAAGAAGTCCGAAGTTCGGACCGCCAGGGCCGCGTCGTCCTCCGCCAGTTCGACGAAGCCGGTGATCAAGTCGGCTGCGAGTAACAATGCGAAAGGACAAAAAGGACCGAGTAAAGAGGTGAAGAAAAAAAATGAGAAAGTCAAGACTAATGCTAAGACTGCCCTGGCCAAAAAGACGACGAAGGCTACCCACAAGAAAGAAGAAAAGCAAAACGCGGTAGCAATCAGTGCAATGAGCAGTAAGTCCTCGCGTAGCTCCGCTGCGAGATTGGGAAATATAATTTCCAAGTCCTCCAACAAAGAGTCAGTTTTCAGTGGCTTCGAGAAAGCGTCGGCGGTCAGTAAGGGAGACAGTAAGAAAAGAGTGGCTGAGGCGAGCCACAAGAAACCGACCGAACAAAAGATGCCTGCGATGAAGAAAGCAGACAAATCCACTTCTATGAAAGCTTCAACGGCGTCTTCACCAGCTAGTAAGAAGGAGAACAAGAACAGCTCTTCATCAGATGAGAAAGAGAAGAAAACAAGTACTGCTAGTGGTGTCGCCGCTGCGAAGAAGAAGGAAGAAAAGTCAGACTCCTTTGAGCCCGCAGCATCCTCTTCTGCGCCGTCTAAGATGAAAGTAAAGTCTTCTGCTAGCACTGCGTCTGTCCCTGTTGCCACAGAAAGCACATCTTCTCGTTCTGTTCTCATGAAAAAGGATGCTATCGCAGAGGAGAAGCTGGTATCGAAGGTGATGAAGGTTGATGTAGCAGAAAAGGACAACAGCGCCGCAGGAAGTGCAGCCTCAAAGTCCACGAAAATGGCAAAAATGAAATCGAGTGTAGAGGAAACCACAGCTGCGAAGGAAGCAACACCAGCGAAGCCTATAAAGACGAAGTCAGCCTCCACAGAACAAGATGAAAGCGCCAAGGCAGGCACATCTTCCAAAGCTACTAAGAAGATGAAGTCAGCCGCCGACAAGGCCGACAATACTAATGACAAGGCGAGCGCGGCTACGAAGGAGAATATGAAGATGAAGGTGGCGCCAGCTCTGAAGAGTGAAACAACGGCTGCGAAGGAGTCGACCACGGCCGCAAGCAAGAAGCAACCAGCGGCGAAGGCAGTGCCCTTGAAGCAGAAGTGGACGCCAGCAGCGCAGCGAGCGAAGAGCCGTGCGAGCAAGAACGACGATGATGAGGATGATGATGAAGAGGACGATGACGACGATGAGGACGACGAGGAGGAATCCGATGACGATGAAGACCCGGAGGAACTTTTTGAGAAAGTTCAACGAGCAGCAAGCCGTAGCTATCGAAAAGAGCAGGGTACAACGACGCAAGAGGACTCAGAGGAGGACTCTCCAGTGCCTGCGAGGAAAAATTCACGACAAAGCACTTCCACCGCGATGAAAAAAGCAACAGCACAATCTAGTGTTTCTTCACCTGAAAAGAAAAAGAAGAAAGACAAGGAGTCACAAAAAGCGTCCTCTACTGCTCAAGGTCAGGAAGAGATGTCCCCAACCACTTCTAAGAATGTCGCACAAAAATCTATGAAGGCGAGTGCATTGCTTTTGGCGGCTTCGGCGGACACTAAGAAAGGGATGAAGAGGTATTTAGGTTCTTCGAGTTTGGCGTCGCCGGCGGCGACAACTCGGAAGTCCACTGCTGCGACACCTGGGGCGAAGCATATCACGGAGGCTATGGTGGAGCCTCTGCGAAAGTGGTGGCTTGAGGACGGCTCGCTCACGGCAGGTCTCGAGAAGAAGTGGCGCACACTAGAGCTTGCCGGCTTTGCGTTCACGGCAGAGTACGTGCCTCACAACGTTCCGATTTTCTACGAAAAACAGCCTGTGTACTTGCCGCCGCAAGCGGAGGAAGTGGCGACTTTTTGGGTGGCGATCATAGGCTCGGCGTACGAGAAGAATAGCACGTTTCGCGAAAATTTCATCACAGATTTCCGAAACGTGCTTGCGGATGAAGCTGCTCTGATCGAGGGAAATTCGGACGCCTGGGCTCCGATAGTGAACCACAACGCGCCAACCGTGTGCGGGCGCAGTCGCTCGCCGTCTGGGGAGCGAGGTTCGAACGCGGGACAAGCCAAAATGAAGAAGAAGAGTAAAGATGGTCGCACTTCAAGGGAGGTGCGTCTTCCGGCTGCAGACAACAGTACTAAAGCTGCGGGCGTAATACTCAACGTTAACGGAGCAGCAGGGGAGACAGGAGTTGCGCAGCCGTTGGCAGGGAGCAGCAAGCGGGATTACCACTTTCCGCTTCCCAAAGACGTAGCTGCGGAGGTTGCTACATTCGAGGGGAGGCAGAAGTACTGCGCACAGCTACGCAAGATTGAGTCGCTTGCGAAGTGCGATTTTCGGTATGTGAAGGAGTACTTGGAAATCCAGAGAGCAGCAGCGAAGCGAAAATCTGCGAAGGACACACCGGCGAAGGACAAGAAGGGCGAGAAAGGCTCGTCCGGAAAGAGGCAGAGCAGAAGCAACAGTCCATCTCCAGCCTCCTCGCCGCGGCCGTCATCACCGCAGGGGATGTCGATGACGCTAATCGAGCACCTGGTCGATATGCTAAAAGTGGAGCAGAAGCGCAAAGCCGAAAATCCAGAGGCCTATCGATACTGCCTGCTCAACGGCTCCCGCGAGCAGGTAGGCAACTTTCAGTGCGAACCGCCAGCACTGTTCCGAGGTCGTGGGGATCACCCGAAACAGGGCATTGTAAAGGCGCGCTGCATGCCTCTTGACGTGAATCTGAACATGGACATCCACGCGCAGCCTCCGGTCGTGACGCTTCCAGGCCATTGCTGGGGCGATGTCTACCACGACAACACTGTGACGAACCTCGGGAGTTTTTTGAACAACGCGAAATACATTCAAGTGGCCTCAGGATCCACTCTGAAAATGCAACCGGACGTCCTCAAGTACGAGAAGGCGCGGAAACTCGGAGAAGTCATCGCTCGGATTCGTCGGGACTACACGTACAAGATTCGTATGGGGGATTTGAAGGCAAGGCCGTCGACTACACCCTCAATCGCGGTTGGAGGAAACTCAGCCGGAACCGGAACAGCAGCATCCTCGTCAGGGACCGTTGCGCCGAGTATTTCCATCAATGGTGTTCCAGCCAACAAAGCGATTGCAGCTAGTGCCTCGTCAACAAGTGCCACTAGCAATAAAAATGGCGCAAAAAAACCAGATGCCGCGAAAACTAGAGGCGACAACTCTCCTATTCGAACCAGTCGCGACTTCTACAATGAACTAGAGAAGGTTCGAAAAGCGTATGGCTACGCGGGCAAGAATTTTTCGATGGAAGAAGCGAAGTTTGGTTCCAATCCAGATGCGCGAGTGTTTGTGGGTGGTAAAGGGGTGACAGATTTCTACTCTTATCAGACGGCATGGCAGCGGGCGCGGCAGCTTGGTTGTGCTGCGTACTTGATTGACCGCTTAGCGCTTCGTGTTGGCAACTCGAAAGACGAAGACGAAGAAGCGGACACGGTCGGTTGCACGACCCTGCGTGTTGAGCATGTGAAATGCCAGGGTAAGGCGGTGCAAATCGAAGATCCAGCAGACGACGTCGACATGATTGGTGGTTTTGGAAACGATAGTGCGCACATGAACAAAGTACTTGTGAACAATGCCGCAACAACGGCGGAGCATGGTCATGGAACTGGGTTAGTCACTGGCGAGGAGCCGCCCAGTAAGCGGCAGAAGGTAGGCAACGGACATCTAGGGCCTAGTGTTCTTGAGAAACTGGCGTCGTCGCATTTAGTGCCTCCCGGTAAAGCGAAGGGTCCACCTTCAGTCATTTCCGATGTCTCCTCGTCGTTTCCGGATATGACCTCGTCAGGCGATGAAGCAGGCAGTAGCAAAAAGCGTCTGTCTGTTCCGTCAAGCGGCAAGAAAATGAAGGCGCGGCCATCGTCGAAAGGCAGTGGAAATGGCCACGTCAAACTTGATGACGGTGCAGTCGCGCAGGGTGCAGCCCCGGTTTCAGTAGAGCAGGTGGAGGTCGGGCTGGTGGAGCCTGCAGGAGGAGCTCCTGCGTCCGCGTCAGGGAACAACAAGAACAAGAAAAAGAACAGGACAACAAGCACAAGAGAAGGTAAAAGCGTTGCTGCTGTTCCACGATACAACCCGGCGCCAGACATGCGGCAGATATCCGGGAAAGCCGGAGAAGGAGATAAGAAACTCGGCAACTGCACAAGTTTGGAGCTGGATCCGGTACCGCCACTTCGCGGTGCTGACAAGTTGCTGAGCGAAAACGCTTCGCGACGTTCTTTTGACGAGTACTTGTTGCGCGAGCGTCTCGAATACCGGCTTCTGTTCAACTTTCTCGGAAAAGATTCCGTTCCCTACGTGAATGAGGTCCTAGTACCGAAGGATGTCTACGATTGCATCACCAGTCTGCAGCGCGGGAAACGAAAGAGCGACCTGCTGTTCGATTTGATCGACAGTGCGGATTTGAATACCTACTTCAAGGAGTTCTTGCCTGGCTTGTCCGCCAAAGTGTTCCGCACGTACAACGCGAGCGTCACCCTAGAAGACGAACTAGCAAAATTCTCGTGGGACACACTGCGCGAAGAATTCGATCGCAAGCAAATGCAGCTGCACGGCGCCGAAGACGCGAAAGCCAAAGATGCAATCCTGATGTCGCCAGAAAAGCGGGACCTTGACAAGTACAATCTAGGCTTTCACAATTTCTGGTCGATTTCTTCGCACTTGCTAAGTAGAAGGTAGTCGTACGACGGGCTTTCTAAAGCTATAATGAATAGAAATGCGACCACTGCAGGTTATGCTCATGACATTTTGGAAACCTAATGTATCCTTGCGTCCGTCTCATCTCTTGCCAGGCTGTTCGAGAAGCAGAAGCCACAGTTGTTGTTGCACTTCTATAACCAAGCCAACAGGGCTGTGGCGGTTTTGTGCAACCATCAGCGGAATATTGCAGCGACGCATGAGGGCCAAATGGATATGCTTCAACAGAAACGGGACATTTTGAAACGGGAAATCGATTTCATGAAGGAGCACATGCGTGCCTGGAAAAAATGCCGGAGTGATAAAGCAAAGAAAAAACTCCTGCAGAATTCAGGAGAAGGACTAGAGTCTCTCCATGCGGAAATGGAGACAAAATGGAATGGCAGCGGATCTAGTGCGGGCTCGTCTGGCACAACTGGAGCTGGGAATGGAGGCGCTGCTCCCTCGGAACAACCTAACGGAGGTGCTACGACCTCTTCAACTACTGCAGCAGCAGCAGCCGCTTCTTCTTCCTCGACCACTGCAACTGCAGTTGCTGCTGTTACAGGTAGTACTGCAAATGCAGCACCGACATGGAATTTGAAGAAGATTCCCGCTAAATCTGAGGGCTGTAAAGACAAATTACTACAGTTGTGTCAGACGTTGGTCCGAATGGAAGACTTGATGAAGCGTCGGGAAGATAATAAGAACATCGCGTTGGGTACTTCTAAGACGAATTATATGGATCCGCGTGTTTCTGTTGCTTTTTGCAAGCGCACTGGTCTAGCTGTAGAGAAAGTCTTCAACAAGGCAAACCTAACCAAGTTTCCGTGGGCCTTGGACTGTAGTAACGACTTTCAGTTCCTGGAATAGAATGTTGAAAATGCAGATCTTGATCTGCGCTCGCTCTTTGTTTGGGTACCATCTTCTATGTATGTATTATGAACATGATTCGCACGGCTTTTCGCGAGATTTACTGATCTTCATGGATTTCCGTACCTGAAATCGAACGATTCTTCCAACATCGATCCTCGTATGTGACTAGTCATCGGATTCCATTGCATTTTCAGTGTACAAAAATGGTAAAAATATGGCAACGATTGAACAACGATTTCTCACTACGTTTTCAAGTTTCTTTCTCTTTGTCGAACTCGATGTTTATGATGGTAAGCTTTTTCGCGACTCTTGCCTTTGCGCTCGTATGAAACTACAGTATTGCAGTTGCAGCAAGCCTGCTCTCACTGTGATATCGATGCAGGATTCATGGTGTTTGTCAGTACTGGCGTTTGTTCCTGGTCGATCTACAACACAGGAATTTCATCTGTATCTATACGGCTTGCTTAAAAAGCCATGCTTGATCGGTTTATTAACCACTTGCTGTTGTTTCCTTCGAGGCTGCAGGTTTGCCTTTTTATTTTGCAGTTTGAATTCTTTTTCTTGCGCTTCCAGTTGTAGAGATTTCTATTCGAAAATTTTTGGCGAATCAATGAAGACCATTGAAGTCTGAAGCGACTTTTTGCTCATAATCTCCAGCGACACTTCCACTTCTGGCAACGGAGGTATTGTACACGTATTGACGGAATAAACAAATATTGACGGCGGTAAGGGTAAGGTGTATCGTCAATCTAGTCCATATCTATGCTATGGCTTTTCTTGACTGAGATCACGGCTTGTGAATTTCATACGTTATGTTTCTTGAGACGACTTGGTTGTCGTGAGTAAACTTCTACTTTTCGAATACAACAACTTGTGAACTTTTTTTGCTAGAGTAAGATAGCAACAGGAGCATAATGTCACTTCTTCGTCTGCCTATCGGGATGGACCACGCCACTGGGGATGTTCCAGCAAATCCGTTTCTTGTTGGAGAGCCTTCGCGGCTCCACAGTGCAGGGGCGGCAGAGCAGTTGAAACTAAAGCGAAGTTCTGCGCTCGGCCCCGCGGCCTTGGCCATGCCACGTCGCACGCTTGCCGACGTGAACGCTGAGATCACACAAAAGACTGCGAAAGCAAGTCAGAAAGTGACTTCGATTAGTCAGAAAATCGCAACTACAGCCGCGCAGTCGTCACAGAAAACGCAAGTGATGAAGCGACCGCGCACGCTACAGGAAATAAACGCAGCTCTACCTGTCAGCGAGGGTGTAATGAAGCATCCTCGCCTGATCGCGCCACCCCTGTCCGCAGTAGGTGCGACGCAACGCGCTGCTCCTGCTAAGATGCAACTACAGCTCCAGCGGTTGCCCCAGCGCACAACGCAGAAACGCGCGGGTGCGGACCCAGATGCAGGAAGTGGCGGCAACATCAGCGCTGAAGACGTTAAAGATTCGGCCCAACAAGATTTGACCGGCGTTTTGGGGTTTCGAAATCTGTATAAGGGTTTCTTGAGCGACGCCGAGAGAGTCGCCCGGCAGTTGGAAAGAATGCGCAACATGAACAAAGAAGAGTGCGAAATCGCTGAAATGGAATGGAGAGCCGAACAACAGCAGCAAGGCGCCTCCGCGACTCAAAAGGTTGCCGCGCGACGAGTGACTCCCGGGGCCCCTGTTACAAACAGGCTACGCACCCTTTCTCTTATGTTATCTGGGCCACACTCTGTCAGTCTCTTTCCATGAATTATCTAAACTCTCGTAGCAAGTTGTCAGGCCAACACTCGTATAAAGTGGTCAGGTCATTTCGCATGAATACTCCTTGAATGACGAGTCTCAACAGGCTTGAAATGACAGAAAAGACTGTACTGCAGTACTGTGCGGTTGTTTTGTTTTTGGTCGAGCATTAGTATAGAACGGAAAAACTTACTCATACTCATTTGACTACGATTTTGAAATACAAACTTTATAAAAAATTTTATCTACTCTTAAATATCTAGTTTAATTAGCTAGTTAAAGGACTCGCTGGATGGACGGCCAGCGAGTCCATTAAATAGCTATTTAAACTATCTAATTTAAAGTATCTAAAAGTAAAATCAAAATCGGTTTTTGAAAATCATAGTCAAATGAGTATGAGTAAGTTTTTCCGTTCTATAATTAGCGACACACTTTTATTGGCAGATCCATCCCAAACTTTTGATATTTCCTTCTTCATGCGCGAGGTGAATGCGTCCGGCGATAACCCTTTCACTGCATCGCCAAAGCAAAGTGTGGAAAGCGGCGGTCGTTATAATTTGTTCAGTGAACAAGATACTGGTGTTGGTTCTCAGCAGAATGTGAATCAGGAACGCGTGGCTCTGCTCAAACAAAAACAACAACAGACCGCGCAGGCGAAACAGCAACAAGCACAGCAAACGTTGGAGTTGCAGCGTGTGGCAAAGCTCAAAGCACGGCTGAATCAAAGTGCTTCGCAACGTGTTGGAGCGCCGGCGCCGCCGCCGCGGTGGCAACCGCAAGACCACAGCGATGTTGAGGATCAAGACAAGGAGGGCACGCGAGACAGTCTTGAATTCTACGAAGCAAGTGAGAACGAGAATGCACTAGAAGGTTACGATATAAAGGCTGCTGGAATCCCGCAGGAAGTGCCGCAGCACTGGCTCTTCTTCGATCGACCCTACACCGAATGGGAAGAACAGAACGCAGAAAAGAAAAACAAGCTGTACTGCCTTCTTACTGGAGCGATTGGCACTGACATCATCGCGCGGGAGTACAACAGCGATGGCGTGCCCGCAGACGGAGAAGCACTCGTCCAGCAGCCACCCCACGATATGGCTGGCAAAAAATTGCTCGTAGTTGTAGCCGAGATCAAACTCGCGGAAGCCCTATGCAAAGACATTGCAGCCGCTGGCGTTGCGGGAGTCGACCGAATCCACGGAAAGCGGGCGCAGCATCAGCGCCGCTCAGCTCTCGATCGATTCAGGTACAAACTATTTGCCTCTAGCCAAGATTACATCACAATAAAGATCAGAATCTGAATTTGAGTCCAATCAATTAGGACGTCGGACAACTAAGTGTCTTCATTTGATTTCGACATTTCATTGTTTGATGATTCTTTTATCACCTTCACCCCCTTCCCACCCAGGTCCGGTGAGATCAGCATTTTGATTTCGACCGGTGTAATTACAAATGTGGACTTGAGCGACATTCCAGACGTGACTGGGGTGGTTTTGGCGAGCGGTGTGGAAACTGCAGAGGAATACGCTCATAAGCTGAGTTGCCTTGATGACACTCCGACAAACTTCGCGGTGATCTTCTTTGAATACTACCACAAAAGCCCCACTGTAGCAGCTGACATCTGCTCCCTCCTCGAGAGCATCCCAGGCCAGAGTGTACCACCGCAACTGCGCCAGATCGCCGACGAAGTGGAGCAAGGAACGCGGAAAAAATAAGGGCTCACTCATTGCTCGAGCTCTCCTCGTCTACATCTAGATGACAGTGGTATGAGATAAAGATCTATAATGTTGTCGTGCGCGACGCAGTGCACACTTACAGATAAAGAGCTTCAAAGAAGACAAGGCAGAAATGTCTTGTGAGATATTGCCGTAAGTGTAATTTGCTAGATTCTCTTGGCTAGTTCAGGAGGCCGTACAAAGTGCTCTTTTCAAGCATCGCTGCACCCCCCATTCATCATTACGTAGAAAGTCTGCACTATTTTCTTACGTGTACGTGTTAGAAATTATAAATGCCTTGGCCGTGTGAAAAAAGGACAGAGCTTCTTCCACGTTTGGTACTGCCGCTGAAAGAGTTATTGATTGTCGCACCCTCCCCGTCAAAGAAACCACGCGCAAAATTTGAGATTTGTCCCTAGTAACTTCGATGTTTTCACGATCTTTTCGAACCCGCACCCGACAGGTTCTCGGTCTTAAGTGTACGCTTTTTCAAACGATCCTCGCAAGAAACGAAAAGAATAGAGGTACGACGTAATCATGTGGAGACATTTTTAAGAGCCGAGACTCTTATTGTTCGTAAAGCCACCGGTTAGGAGGCAGTTTTCTGTAGGCAGTCCGTTGCCGGATGTGATTTTAGATAATGGAAAAACCTGGCTCATTGTCTGTCGCACGCACTTGCCTCGTTGGCTTAGATTGTAAGTGCTAGGTTCAATGTCGGTCACCATCTGTATATGTGTCTGTGATTTCACATCGACAATGAGCGAGGGAGATCTCACACTCAGAAGGACCCCGCAGCTCAGCTTAATCCGTCCCTCCCACAACCTGCACACTTGGATGATTGGGTATGGCAGTGTGCCTCGGCTATTGCTACTTGATCATGTTTTCAGAAAATCTAGTGGCGGTCATAGTGGAACTTACTTCTGAATTAGACCATAGCCGTTCTAAGAAAGGGAACTACCGTGTTTTTTTGATTAAGTTACTCTAACTGTCATTTTTGGTTGTGAAAGTATAAGTAGATAGGTATGTTGTCATCGGACAAGCAAGTCGCAAATGGCCGTTCTTGTCAAATCCCGCGACGAGTCACGAAAGAGGGGGAAAAGTCCAATACCGATTGCAGAACGACCTGCTTGGAACCCTGATACCAAACTTCCGCTTGGTACAACTTTATGGTATGGCGAAGAGCACTACGGAAAAGTCGAAGATGCATACTACAAGGACGCCAGCGTGTTGCCGCCAGTAACACCTCGTTGGCGGTTCGCAGTCCGAGCCAAGGGTCGTATAGATCGATCCAGACGGCCGTTTGCTGCACTGCATGAGAAAAATGTCGCTGCAACGAATCCCAAATCGGGCGCCACAAGCACAACGCCCATAGCCATCGATTCGCTAACGACGCGAAGCGACGAAATCGACGGGACGGCCGAGAGACGGCTTTATCACGATTCAGTTTCTACGCGAAACGACGACATCGACGGGACAATCGAAGAGCAGCTCTATCATGATTGCACAGAAGAGGTGACCGCACAATCCCAGACGCGGGGCAAGGAAAAGCAAGATGTAGTTGTTCGACGCGAGCGAGTCTACCTCCCCACTGCGGAGTTATCCTCGTCGTCTAAAGAGGTGCAATCCTCGGTAGGCACCATTTCACCCGGCGGTGAGAGTGAAGTGGAGAATTGGCATGCTACACCTAAAAGCGGGCGAAGCGCGAGAGGCCCACTAATTAGTGCGCTCTATTATGGAGAGAAGGATGTTCAAGGAGAAGGTGTGGATGAAAAACGTGGTAGTGGAGGCAAGTCTCACAAGCACCATCACGATGATAACGCAGAGCAACAGCATGCGGGTGAACATGAACATCATCACCATCATCATCACCACCACGGGCATCATGTCGTTGTCGAGCGGGCGCGCATTATTACCGATGTTGAGGCCGTCAGCCCTCCAGTGGCGCTGGTTGCGTCGGAAGAAAATGTAGAAGAAAAGGACGATGGAGTCCCCGAGAGGCAAGTGCCTAGCAGAAAAGAAGCAGAAGTCCCCACGGCGACTGGGGATGCCATGATTCTAGGTCTAGATGATCATGAAGGTGATGATTATCCTGAAGGGTCTACAGGAGTTGGTCCTGCACACGCTGGTGACGAACAAACTGCTTCTCCACTTGAAACTGTGTCTATGATTCGGAGGCGAATGCAGCATGAGGCCATGGCGCTTCCAGCAGACTTGAACGACAATCAGTCACGGCGAGAGCGAGTAGCGAGCGCACGCCGGTCGCTGTCCCTCTCGAGTCGGTCGCCTTCACCAGACAGGCAGTTCGTTTCAGTGCCAATCGTTCAAGGTGAGATCATGGAGTCGCCCAACCTCAGGACAGACGATCGTAGCGAGTCGATGCCAGAGCGGAAAGAAGTGAATGACTTAATCCCGGATCATCGAGATGAGAAGGTAGACCAAACAGAAGGAGGAGCAATCGCCAAGCACAAGGGAAGCGGACACCATCACGATCACCTCCACAGTCATCGTTCGCAGAGCAAGCACGCATCAATGGGAAAAAAGCATAAGCATGATCATGGTAGGCATTCCCAAGAGCGCCATTCTGATTTCGGACAGCAGGATGCTGAAGGTGCTGCATCAAAGGTGGTCGCAAGAAGCGAAGCGCGTGCGAAGTTCCCTTCTGCACGCCTGCTTGGAAAAATGCACGTGGCTGGGAGGACTGCAACTACTGATCATGAAGACGTCAGCGCATCTTCTGTGAGAACGAAGATGGGAGACGATACAAGTTCGGCGTCTCACAGCGAAGAGGAGGAACTGGTCGTCGTTCGACAGGGCGGTGAATGGGACAAGGGAAAAATCCTTCTGGGTTCTGCGATGGAGGCTGTTGGTCTGTACTGGAGTCCAAAGGCAAAAGACCGGCAGTACCGCGGATTGTCTCGTGGTCATGATCACTCTGTGCCTGTTGCAGATAATACCACGCAGAATGCCGTCGGGGTGGATCCGCGCGTGGGCATAGTGACAGTGCCAGACACCGACATGCAGCGACAAAATGCAGCTTCTTCCAAAGGCTTCGTTGCCCGTGTGCAGCTTCTGAGCCAAGATTTGAATGATTTAGCTGCATTGGGTAGCAGTATTGGCATTGACCAGAAGACGCTATTGGATCAGCTTGTATCTCCGATGACTGCCAAGGACGCCAACGAGCAGCCCTGCTTGTCGGCGCGAGGCGAAGGGGCGCCGCAGCCGTCCGCCTTGCGACAGGGTTGTATGTCGACGAGACAGGAGCAAAAGGCGACAAAATTAGGGAGTACGATATGTCCTACGGCGTTCGCAATCACTCCTGTGGATGATAGCAGAGGCGCGAAAACGGTCACTACAGCAACAGCATCGGCACAAACAATTGATTCAAGTGCGTCACAGACGGAGCCCGCAGTGGGTATGCTAGACTTTGACCGAGCACAAGCCAAGTACCAACGCGATGTGCGTGTCGTTTGGCGAACCATTATGGGTAGTCTGGGAGAGCGCGGTTCTGGTGGCCATTTCCCCGAAGCGCCACACATTATTGGAAGACGTGAGCCTGAAGACCTGGACGTGGTTCCTGGTGCCGTCGCGGACCTTGTACTCCGTGCAGCTGCGCTCGACGGCGACAGGGTGTCGAGAAGCGAGTTGCAAGAGCGTTGGAGGATTGCGGAAGAAAAATATCTCGAAACACTGGACAATGAGGGGCAAGTAGCTGAGGAACCCGTAGGCTCTGCATCGGGAAGAGGCCGTGCGCGGCGTGAAGCTGACTACCTGCGTTCGCGTGAGAGGCATTCTTACGGCAGTAGAACTAACCGCTTTCGTCTTGCCGGAGAAATTGGGGAGGACGGTGATGGTCTTGCTGGTCGTGGCTCGCCTCGAGTATGTCTGCGCAAACAGCTTTTCGATTGGCAAGGTCGCGGCCCCTGTGATGTAAGTCCGACCAAGCGGATCGACGGTCTTTATCGCAATATACGCAATGAGGCTGACCTTCTTTTTGAAGGCAGTTCTCAATTCAGCCCACGCCGCGCTCTTCTCGAGGAGTATCGTGAAAAGCAGTACAGTGCGGAGCGAGATCGACAGCGGGAAGAGCTCTATGAGGAGAAGACGTCGCCAAAATTTGGAGGAGGTCCAGCGTGGAGGATCGGTCCGGGCAGAAAGCATTGTTTTCCAGGAGAAGTTTTGGCAGAGATGCCAACACAGGCTTTGACCGAGCGGTTCGATACGCAGAGTCAGGATAGCAGCGTCTTTGAGGTGGCGCTTCACGGCGGCGAGCACGAACGACACTGGCGCGAGGACCCTGTTACGGGTGAAACGCGCAAGGAAGGCTTCGTTGACGCGCCCTCCACAGATCAACATCATCGCGATGCGCCTCCATCCCTGGGTGCCTCGCCCGCGAGATGGCCTGGATCGGACTGGCCATCGAGTCACGTGCTGGTCAATACAAATGATCCCATCAGAGGCTCGCCGGTTCCCTCGTTTCGCGGCATGTACTCTACTCGCCCAAATAACAGGCCAGTAAATTACACTGGACTGCAGAGATTTGGGCTTCTTGGAGCGCAAGAACCCGCTGTAAGTTTTGTAGGCGTATCCTCCGGTGACCGCATGGCGGTGCAAGGTGTCTCGCCTTTGCGTCGCTTTGCTGCAGAAGAAGTATGCCAAAGCGATCGCGATATGAACTTTCAAGGCGGCAAAAATCTTAGTCCAGCAGCCTTGCGAGTTGAAGAACGTGTGGCAGGAGGACTCGGTGAAAAAACTTTGCTCGCAGAGTTGGACCTCGAGATGAGACGGAGACGACGAGAGGAGAACGAGGAGCAGGAGATAGCTGCATTGTTAGCTCAGGATGAAGGCCAATTTTTCGACTCTGAAGATCTCTCTGTGGGATCGAGGTATCCTCAAAGCGCAGCTGAGCGAATAGTACTGGACGAGATTCGTCGCAAAGTTTCGAATGCAGAAGCAATGCGGCGCGAAGGCGGTCGAGCAGAGTACTCTTGGACTGACAAGGATGATTGGGCTCGAAAAGAGTGGCACACTGGTCGCGATCCAGCGAGTGAGCCGCTGCGATTTTCGGAAGCTCTTTTCAATGCCGAAGAGAGCGCGAAAACAGGAGGCGGAGCAATGTCTCCCGCTGCTTCTCCTAGAAATAAGGACAAGCCCGCTGCTTCTCTTAGGAGTAAGGACAAGCAGCACTACCACGGTCGTGATCCGCGACACCATCATGACAACCATCAGCATGCACATGACAGGGACGATGATAATAAAGGACACCACCATTATAGTAGACACCATCAGTACGTCCTGGAGACTGACGACCGCACCTTTGGGGTTCGTCTTCATATCGAACAAGATGGACACAGCGAGCATCACCATCACGAAAGGCACCACCATTATCACGAAAAACACCACGATGGCGAGGATGATGATCCTGGGAAGATTGATGGCGAGGCGAGCCACCAGCACCGTCATCATAGGACTCACCACGAAGCGCACACGACATCAAGGGTCGAAGCTGAAGCCCCCTCGGCTTCTACGGCGATTGGAGAGAGTGCAGGTAAGCACTTATGCCAGGTGGCAGTCGGTACAGCGAGCTCGGGGCTAGCTACTACTCAAGATTTTGAAGGTGATCATGTCATGGACGTTGGTGAAGTTCCAGGTGGTCGAGATCAACCTCCTTCGACGACAAACGACAGGCAGGCGGACGCTGGCTGTTGCTCTACTTGGTTTTCGTGCTTTGCGGGCGAGGATGAGACACCACGAAAAAGTGTCGATCTGTCAAAGCCAGGAGCTGCTGTACGACCACCAAACGCAAAGCAGCCAGAACCCACGGCTCAAGCCGAGAACATGATGAATACACCGGCACCACCAGAAGATGATTCTAAACAGAGAGATGATGAAACACAGGGGCACAATCATCGTGAGCACCACCACAGTCGCCATCGGGACCATCATGGACATCACAAAGCGGACCACGATGACGGGGAGGATCGTCGACACCATGACGAGGACCAACATCAAGGTGATAATGATCAGAGACACAATCATCATCACCACCATCATCACCACACTGTCACGCATACCACTGCCACGACTGATCATGGCTATGTTGACCGTGGTTCTGGCGCAGCGCCTGGACGTACTCCTTTGACGTCTGACCATGCGCATCGCAAAGCGAGAGGCCTCATAAGCATAATAGGAAAGAGTCCTCTAATATCGCGGCCTCATGGAGTAGGACCTGACGGGATGAATCTTCGAAATGACGCCAGCAGTGTTTTTCATAGAGAAGGAGTGCCTTTCGCGAAAACGACGTTTTCCCGTGCTTCTCACCAAAATATTAGTTTTCCTCTTGCAGAGCCAGGAGCTGTTTCACGACGAACGCCCAGCCTGACTACAGGGAGCAGGAGAAGCCCCGGCAACAGCCCGGATTCGTCTGGTGAGTCTCTGACAAGTGCTGTGGTTCGCGCATTAGGCTTGAGTGGCGACGAACTGGACGACACAGTGGCTTCAGGCCTCTCCAGTGCGGGAGAAGGAGATGATGCGAGTTCTCTTAGTAGCACAACGTCACAACTTATTCATGTGCTTGTCCAGAAAAGAATGGAGAAGGAAGCTAAGACGGGAAGGCGATATCGTGGATCTTAGTTCGTATTAGTACTAGAGGTAGTACATTCTTGTACTCATTAGTAGTAGTAGTAGTAGTAGTAGTAGTAGTAGTAGTAGTAGTAGAAGCCTGATGCTAGTAGTAGAAGCACAGCTCTTATACTTCTCATCACTTAGCGGCACAACACATTCTTGAAACCCTGCTGCATGTTGCTTGTCATGTGATATTCGTCCCTTTTGAAATCTAAGGAGCATTGTTCACTCTGTGCGTAGCACGATGAAACAAAAAACCAATTTACAACAACGACACTTGTCTTTCTCTTAAACGCATAGATCATGAATCAGACTGCTACTCACAATCCGCATCTGATGGTCGTCGTGGTTCTGGCCAAGAGCCGAGATGTCCGAGCAGGAGAAACCTATTAAAAAAGGCAGGGTGTCGGTCGCATCTACCGGATCCCACGGATGCTTGTAATCTTGCGACCAGATTGGTGCCTTTGTAACCTTGTAAACCAAAGCTGAAAAGGTTGTTTGATAACTGTTTTGGAGGATATGATTGCCCGACCATTCTTCTCGCAGGAGTTTTGGTCTCTTATTTCCTGTTTATAGTTTTTCTGTAGATATTAGTTTCCGCTCCTTTTTGAACTGTTTTTCCGATAATGTTTTTGGTCGCATGAATATTTTTTTTCTGTGTGATGTGTGAGCGTTCTGTGATAAAGTAAGTTATAGAAATATATAATAATTAACGCAAGTAAGTATCTTCTAGTCACAGTTTCTGAAGATTTCTAGCTGAATAAAAATGACGGACATATTCACGTATATGGATAAGCTTGTCGCTGAGACTGATGGGCTAAGATCCATTGCTGTCGCGGACCGCGATGGCGTTGCGGTATTGAGGGCACCACAAGCGGCGAACCTCCAGATGTCAGACCTTCAATCGGAGCAAATACTGACCACAATATTTTCCCTCACAACCGATCAGACAACGAAAGTGAAGCTACTAGGTACTATTTATCTCGTGCACGTCTACGATTTTTTAACTGAGAATTGATAGCACAGGTTTGTATACGAAGACGCTATAGTGAGAAATTTTAAATGTAAATGGATCACGTTATGTTGACATCAAAACCACTACTTTTTCACCATGAACATGACGACCAGCTTTCACGTGTTTCGTCGGTCTCTCGTAGCATGAAAAAAATTTTTACACCACCCCTCGCAACTTTGCCACAGGTAATTGCCGCAGCATATGTTTGATGCACGACGACGCGACAGTGCTCCAAGGAAATTTCGGTCCTTTGGTTATTACCTTGAATGCCCAGAGACAGTGTCACATAGCGGAACTGACAGAGGTTTTACAAGATCTGAAAGAAGTGCTATCACAAGCAAAGGAGGTAATCGCTCGGGAAATAGATAATTGGTAGTGCTGTGGCAGCAGACGGGCTGCCTGTCTCTTCTATCGAATTTTTTGAGGGACACTTTGGGTCTATTTTGTGCGTATGATAGTGGAGCCCGACAGTTGCTTGCTGAAGATCCCGACATTGCGACACTGATCGTTTATCCCCATGAAACATTAATTCAGTAGTTGAACTTTGGAAGATCTTGCAGGTGGGGTGCCCTACACCTTCCTTTGAAGGTTTGACTTATATTTATTGGAAAGGAGCGCCGTGTTCGATCGAATACAGGCGGCGCTTTGTTGCTGTGGTGGACAGCGAGTGGCCCTACAGAATCTACTCTGATTATGATAAAAAGCTGGTTCTTGTAGAAAAAAAGGATCGATCATGAGGTTGAGTTTTCGTGTGGTGCAATGAGCATTCGTGTGAAAAGGAAAATATGTTGAGAGGATATTATCAGTCATGATATTTTTACGAAAGATATACAAGAAAGGGTGAGAAGTTAGAACCTGTCGAAGCTGGATGATGGAGGAAAAAGGTGCAGTTTGTGTGCTGTTTCTTCCCTCGACTGACTGACGTATTCGAGGGCAGATGTTGTCACACTACAATTTTTTAGGAGTAGCAAGATGTGTCTACCATGAGACCGGTTTTGTACACCTCCCACTGGGGGCGGGTGACTTCTCATCATCGATCATCCCTTGTAGTATTCCGAAACAACGCACAGTCCTCGACAACAGAAAATCCGAGTCGAAGATGCTTTTCTTCGGACGTGCCGAAGTTTAACTGTTATTCGGTTCTAGAGGTTTCACAAGGCGCTTCGTCTGCGGATATCAAGAAAGCTTATCTCGATATGGCGAAAAAGCATCACCCAGATTGTGGCGGCAACAGCGAGAAATTCCGCAAGATATCAGAAGCCTACGAGACACTGTCGAGAAACCGGGCCGCGCACGACCAAGTACATAGTAACTCCAGATCGTCCGCACCATCATCTGGTCCCCGAGCCAGCTCGTCTAGTAGTGGACCGAATTCGAGAACAAGCGGTTTTTCAGCCGGCGGTTTTACAACAGGCGGGTTTTCAACAGGTGGGGGAAACCCGTTTAATATGGGAAGTAGTAACTTCGACTTTGGAGCCTTTGGTCGCGGCTCATCGCCGTTTGGGGACTCGCCTTTTGGTGATTTTGATCCTTTTGCTTTCCGTAATCCACGCACCTCCAATTATAGGTCAAATACCTCTTCTACACATAAAATGAACAACAACAAAGATAAGGGTTCGTCTTCTAGTTCTTCTGGTTCTGCGTCTTCAACATCTGGTGGCGCTTCCACTAATAAAGCGAATACGAAGACGAGGACGTCAGCAGCATCTTCGTCATCGACGTCTTCGAACAAGCATAGTCGAAGGAACCATAATCGGAACATGGCACCAGGCGGTGCTGGTACATGGGAGGATGATGCAGATTTCCCAGAGTACATGCACAGTGCTTACGGGGACCGAGCGTCGATGAAGGGCCGATCTTCTCCGTTTTCGGATGTCGACGACTCCTTCCATTACGACAATGGCCAGTGGTGGTGGGAAGAAGATGAAGCCTTTGAGGCTTTTGTACGCGACAGGATGGAAGCTGTGAATAGAAGCGGAGGCGCAGCTTCAAAGCAAGGGTCCGGGCGGCGGCAAAAGAAGCGAAAAATGGTCTTCGAAGATTTGTACATGGACTGGGACGAGCACGTGTTTGAGCAGGTTCGAGAATCACAGCGCAAAAGACAGGAAAGACGGAAAAATAGAGACTCAACTGGTTGTTCCGGGGGTGTCCGAAGTTCAACGGCAACACCTAATAATTCAAACTCCGCGATGAAAACTAAAGAAAAGAACAAAAATTCCAAAAACAGTAGTAGTACAACAAGCAGTGGTGGTAGCACGAGTTCAACGTCAACTTCGACTAATGAAGCAGGCAAGAATAAAGGTTCGCCATCGACATCGTCAACAGGTGCAAAGCAAGAGCAGAGGCGAAAAGAGGAGAGGACCTCAAGCGCGTCCTGTAATTCTACGTCGACATCTTCAGGACGAAATACGGAGTCCGACAGGAAAAAGAACCAAACCACTTGCAAAGAGGACACCACTGGCAAGAGCGCCCCATCAGCGTCTTCGGCCGCCACTAAGGATCACAGCAATTCTGAGCGTGAACACAAGAACAGCGCTGAGATAAAAAGAGCAGCACATTTTACAAGTGCTGCAACTTCTTCTGGTAAATACCCTGACAGTCCGTTGCTGCTTCGAGTAACCTGTGTTGATTATCCGAGGATCGCGGGGGTGTATGCTCGTATAGTGGGCGGGCTTAATCGAGACCAGCGGGTTAGAAATTCCGCCGGAAAACTATGCTCACTGTGGAGCATACGAGACGTGTACGAGCGTCTGCCGGCGGTGGGTAGTAGATCTTGGACTAAATCTTCTACGGGAGACGTTCACGTTGGAACAAGTGACACCGGCGATCGCGCTGGCACATGCTTTTTCACATGGGAGGAGAGCTCTCCGTCCGGAGAACCAGCTGGAGGCACTTTTTCGACGTCCTTGTTGCACGCTGGATTTTGTGGGCCTAAGAAGGAGAAGAATACCGGAGATGGCCATATCAATGATTCACGTAAACACGACAGAAAAACTCCGTTCCATCGAAAGGGAGGAGTGTCAGACTCGTTTCAAGAACTACAGCGCGCATTCGTTCGGAACCTCACGTCAGCCAACAGCGTCGCCCTAGTAGAGGGGGTTGTAGCTGCAACCACGTGCGCGAAGTCTGGTGATGCTACCCGAGATGGCGCAGGAGCAGGAACAGGTACTGAAACAGAAAGCGAGAGGGCACCTTCAGCATCCTCAGCGTGTCATGTACCGTGTGGCCCGGCGTCCATACACTATGTCGGTACAAAAGTTGCACTCTGTTCTAGAAAAGAACAGCATGCGGAAATATTTATGAAGTGGAGTTCTTTTGACATCCCACAAGACGAGCAAGAAGTAGCAGCAGAAGAGAACGTGGCAGATGACGCTAAGAACAGAATTACAGTTTTGATAGAAGACGAAAACGCTCCAGCAGAATATGTGTCGGACCCGTCATTGTGGTCTTTTTCTGCACTGGAATTCTTTGTCCGCAGCCGCGCTCTGATTGCGCCCGACACTGTTTTGACAGAAAAGCAAGAGTTTGTGCAGCTGGTGTACGAATTTTTGACGGCAGCGGACTCTGCGGAAAGGTTGCGCCCAGGATATCAGGATTATAGGCAGGATGAAGATTCAGTGAGAAGTAAAGAAGAAGTCGAAGGTACCGCACCACCGGAGAGAGGCGATGAAAAGAACATCTTGAATAGCGAGCCGAAAGAAGAATCCACTACAGACCACTCCTTTGCCAACGATGAAGAATTTACTGCAACATGTTCGGGGTCATTCGATTACGACCAGTGGGCGAAGGACCATGACTTTTGTGGTTCAAATGAAGAGGGGGACGTTGACTACCCCAAGCATGAGGACGACAAATGCAGCAGCGGGAACAAGTCGCAGAGTTCCCCATCCTCGACATCAAGTAAAAAGCAAAGCCGAAGCGAAGGCATCAACTGCAATAGCAAAGCGAACAAGAGCAATGCAGCTAGCGACTGCGACCACGAGAGAGACAAATCGAAACGTAGAAGGGAAAAACGTGAATTCCGCCGCCAGCGAAATAGATACAACGACGACTTCCACGCCTTTGCGCATGACGGAAGTTTTGATGACTTTTTCGTGGTAGATCCTGACACAGGTCGACGGAAGAAAATGAGACGTCTGATGAGACCAGAAATTGTAAGACCACGCTTACCAAGGAAACAACGCGGGAAAAGAATGGGGCATGGGGGTCATTGGGATCTTTTCTATTACTAAGGAATACAACACAAGACTGACTGTTGGCACCGCCCGTGCATCAGAAATATATCATGTTGAACCGCGACTGCGATTGTAGGTCTTACACCTAATGACGCTAACGAAGGTCAGATGTCGAGTAAGGCGAGGCGCTGTGCCGCCGCCTTTCACTCTTCTTTTCACGCATTGACCGGCTGGGTTATTCTGGAAATGGCTCGCCTCTTCCACAGTTTTTGAAGATCGAGTGTATTTCACAGAGAACAAGGACGGAGTGCGTATAATATGCAGAGTTGGATCGCATCTACGAATTTGATCCCAGATAAGTTCATGACTCAGACATCTACTGACTGGCTATGGCTCGAAAAAACTGACTGAATATCTTCTATATCTCGTAGGTATTTGCAGGTATGATTTGTAGAAGATGTAAGAATTTGCGTTGAACTAATTGTCTTGAGAAAAGGCTTACGAAGAAATGATGGGCAATGTTGCTGGGACAGACCGGCCGCACAACATCTGGATGGCGGGCCCCGATCAGGGAAATGCGCTCAATTTGGCGCTTTATTTAGCATCTGGATGCGGTTGTGCACGCCATCTGACGGCAAAAACGAATATCACTTCGCATAGTTCATTCGTCCAGGACGTGAGGTGGAGCGATTTGTTTGCTGGAGGTGAAGGCAGCTCCAACGATATATCAGGTGACTCGACGATGCGACAAGCCGTTGACAAGGAAACAAAGTTGAGCGAAAACGTGATAGTTCGGCTAGTGTGTGCGGCGGGTAGTTTCTTTGCATATCGTGAATGGCAGCAGCACACACCCGCAACTGGCTTGATTTACGTGCACTCGCCAACGGTGGAGGCACATTTGCAGGCCAATGAGGGCTTGAGACGCCACAATCTAATGCTCGATGCAGGACGCTATTTGCCACTTCTCTTTGACGATCAGATCGGGGATGAATGCATTACGGGACAGCCTGCTCGCCTACCAGTTCTAATGTTGGTACTTCTCGATGGGGAACAGGAACAAAAAGGAGACGCGTTAAGCCTGTTGCCGGTAAAAGTGCAGGCTACTCTCGCCAAGGATGGAAGGCCGTGGAAAGCTTTTGTAATTGATGTCAGAGATGGTAGCGCGAATGATTCTCAGACTGGTGTATCCGCAAACTTGAAAGAGGATCAAGATGAACAGCAAGCTTATGACGAAGCCTTGATTGATTCGAAGATTAAAAACACAGTTCAAGATGGGTTACGCTGGCTCGCTTCAAGAGCAGGACTCTAAAATCCCAAAATACGGCCTGTTTCCTGCAGAGTGTTCCGGAGCATAGCGCGATGAATCGGTCTTTTGTTGCCATCGGTCTCCGTCTTCGCAAATCCTAGAGACAGAAGCGAACAGTCAAATTCGTAATTGTTGTTGTGCTGTTTTGCGATTGATTCTCCACACGACCATAGAAATCGGTGGTCTGTCAATATCTTCGTGACCAGGTGATACAAACAAAGGGAATGATCCCTTATGCACTCGTTATATGAGTAAGACTCGAGCGAGCAGCATAGACGCAAGTACTTACACGATGTAACTCTGAAGACGAGTACTGAAAACCCCATGTCAATGTCAAATGAATCGGATCGAGCGCTCGTATTCGAGCTGTATGGAGTGAACTTTCCTCGCCTCTCCACTCTGGTCGGTGAAGTGTCGTATAGGCACTGCACGTGCTATACTTGGATAAGCTTTGCCTTCTGCCCTCCAGTTGCCTGTTTTTATGTACCGATGCCGGATGCGTGATGGATAGCCAACGGCGCCAATAGAAAGCTTATAACATCAACCCAATCGAAGCTTGATAGTACCTATCTTCTCGAGAATCTTGTTCTACGTGTTAGTTGCCCATTATGTGAGGGAAGCCGATTCGGAGTATGAAAGAGATCTTGTCGACGTTGAGCTCCGCTGTGTAGTCCTTGGATTCGTTTTTTCATCTTCTTATTGGCACAAGATTTCGCAAGGAGAAAATGGTGGTTGTCGGTAGCCGCCCGGCAACGGGATGTCGCGCGAGTGGGAACGGGAGTCGAAATGCGAGTCGACCGACGAGTGGCCACTTGACTGGAGATGAGGTGCGCACAGTTCATGCTGTCCCTGTTCCTGGCTATGAACAGCGTGCACGCCAGCTGAGTCGGCCGAACGCAGCGGTTCGTGAAATAGCGTACACACCCAGCATGCTGCCGCCAATGTTCCAACAACAGCGGCCCGCGAGCTCGCCAGCACCGCGGTCTCCGGGGACGGATTGGTCTTCGGATTTGCACGACCCTGACATGCTGGAGGTAGGCGATGACATGCTCTACAGTCCTGCTCACCCACGCGGGCAGCCGTTGGGCGGCGAGGGCGAGCTAGACTACGACGAGGACGAGGATGCCATACCTGTTGGCGCAGGTGGCGGTCGCGGGCGCCCGCGTCGCAGCCGCAGCGCACGTGGGCGAGGCGGACAGGCGAGCAGCAAGAAGCGGCGCCGTAAGAACGAACTGGAAGCTGCCGCCAAGGTAGACTTGAGAGAACTACTGGGCGCGTCGTGGCAAGGCCGACCACAGTCTCGGACGTCGGAGACCTTTGAGGGCCTTTTTTCGCCGAAAGTGGCAAGAAACTTGCGCTCTGCGCTGGAGACGGTGGAGCGACTGAGTGGAGGCGCTGGAGCGGCTGCGCCAAACGCAGGCGAGGCCGAGCAGCGGATTTCCTTTCTTTTGCGGCAGAACCCGGGGTTGCGGAAGAAGCTAGAGGAAACAGCAGAGCATGTCGATGCGGCCGGCCAGACGAGGCAGGGTCGAGTCCTGGTCACGAGCAATATGCTGGTTGCGCCGGCAGCAGGTGGGGGGCTCACATCCGACGAAGAAGGTCTGGGTCGAGGTGTGCCTTCAGTTGGTGGCCAGCATCCTCCGAAGCGAGCATATCATCCAGTGGCTGGAGCGGGCTCAGGGGGAGGGCATGTGATGCTGACCGAAGTGTACGGGCAGCTGGAGGAGTCCCACCAGGCGGGCACGTTTCCAGCAGGTTTCGGAACGGGGTACTCAGGTACTCTTCCGTCGGCGGGACCCGGAGAACGGGAGCAGAGCTCTCTTTACTTCGCGCAGCACTTGAACATGAGCAGCGAACAGGAAAACCAGCAGCAGTCCATACTCGAGCTACAGCGTGTAGGCTCGCAGGGGACGCAGCCCAGTTACGTTGGGCTATCGGAGGACGACATCGCTGCATTCTATAGTTCAGCTCTACGCACACATTTGCGGTCACGTGGCGGCCGCGGGCAAATGTACCAATACACGGGGAATCCAGAGACGGTGGACGGCTTGGAGAGTCTAGTGGACCTGAACCAACCTTCTACCGCCTCAGCCCCAGCGCCGTTGCTCGAGCAGGAGGAAGCGCTTGTGGTTTCTGCAGGGGGAGTAGCATCCAAGGCGGAAGCGACAACTTTGTTATCTCTTAGTGAAAAAAGTGGAGAGTCTTTCTCAAAAGTTGCAGTGGTGGATTCCTCAAGTGCTGGCGGTGCCCAAGTCGACCAGTTCCCGCCCCGACCCGCGAGTGCAGACAGCATAGGAGCTCTAGATCCTTCTTTGCTGCAGCTCGCAGAGGACACCAGTGCGGCGGACCCGCTCCACACGTCGTCATTGGGCTTGTCACGCGGTCCGGAGCGTACTGAAGAGAGCGCTTTGGTGCCTGCGCAGGTTGATGTTGCTGATCCTCGTGCAGCAGGGAGTGGAGGCGCTGTGACTTGGCCGGAGGACAGCGAGTGGTGCATGCCAGACGCCTCGCTTACTACAGCGCCGCGCAACATCGATTGGAGTCGCGTCGAAGCGCTTATGGCGTCTAACGGACGGCGAAAGCAGATCGAGAAGAAAGAATTGCGTTTGTCGATTAGCCGTCAGCGGAACCGTGCGAACAAAATCAAGATGATGGCTGAGCTGGAGCGAGCAGCGGAGGTCGCTGCGCAGTGCGACGGCGCTGAGACGTTTCCAACGGTAGTCAAGTCCGCTCGAGAACGCATCGAGCGCCCGCCGAGCAGAAATCGGACGTTCGTCACGGAAAAACGAGAAAAGCCTGCACTGAGCAAGGTTCCACTGGCGCAGGAATTTTCAAGGGCTGATCTGGGTAGCAAGTGGTTGTTTGATAGATATGCTGTCGTAAGATGCTGAATATTACATCGTCGTTGTAATTGTTGAAGGCACAAGCGTTGTAATTGTTCTGCGGATAAGCTTGCGATTCTGCAAGATACATATTGTTTTTGTCTTCTGAAGAGAAAGAGTTTCTTGAATTCTAAGGCCAATGAAATTGTTGAAGGCACCATAGTGACAATGACGTCTAGGATATTGAAATCCAAAACGAGGATTGCAGTGTTAAGCTTGTTGTATGTCCTGGAGCACTCGGATAATTTACTTAGATTTACCGCGGACTTATTACCTTGTCACAGGTTTCGCTGAGCCAAAACTGGTCCAACAAATGCAGGGATTGTTTTCACCGAAGAGCGCTCCCTACTACCTAGCGAATGACCGGCTTGAGCGGGAAGAAGGAGACAGACGTGGAGGCAGGTCACGACAAGACGATGAAACGGAACTTTGGGGTGGCCCCCAACAGCCTGCGCGGACGCTGGCGCCGCCACGAGTCCTGGAAGGCGCTCCACACAACCGCACACGAGCTCTACCTGCGTCAGCTCCACATTTGGGCGCTGGTAGCAGTGGCACAGCGCCTTTTGTAGACCATTTTCCGGCGCCGGCACTTGAGGCTCGTGGGTGGACTATGTTGCCGCGCGAACAACGTCAAGTACGGTTTCGTGAGGAGGTATCGCAGGTTCTTACACCGCAAGCGTCACCCTCGAGGATAGAAAGTAGCGCAATTTTGAGCGGCCCGTCGTGCTCAACCATCTCTCCACGGCACAATACCAGTACGCAGCTAGCTGAGATCCCCGGTGTGCCTTCGAGTTCGCCACAGGAAAGGGCCACACAAGCTGCAGGAGGCGCTCTTCAGCCGATGTCACCCGGCAGCGCCTCTTCTTACCTGGTCATGGGCAGCAGCCCCTACGACGCGACAAGTGGCGCACCATCATCGTCACGTCCGTCTAGTGCTATCGGGAGTTCGCCATCAGCACGGCCAGCGAGCGCGCCAGGTAGTGTCGGACCGAAAAATAGCGGTACTGCACGGCAGTTTCAAATCGAGAGAACAGGAGCAAGTCCTCCTCTTCCCCCGGCGTCTCCAGAATATACAAATATTGGTTCTGGTCCGGTTCTGGGTCTACCGCCCACTGTGCTAGACGCAAACGCCACGCCTCTAGGTACAACGCTGCGGACGCCGTCGACGTCGCCTGCGAAGCGTCCGCAAATCAACTACATGAGGCGCCCGCCTAGTGCAGGTGGGGAGCCGCCTAGGCCCAGCAGTAGTCATTCGCCGCACTCGTCGAGTGGCAAGGCGCATAGTGGTCGGCAGCCACCTCTCGGCACACCTGATCTTGCATTGATGAGTGCAGATCGGTTCCAGGCTGAGAGGAAGCAGCAACTCTTGATGAACCAGCAACAATCGGGTGTCTACGGGAGCCGATCCCCGTCACGGTCACCCGGATTTTCACGGCCACGTCATTCCCCGAGCGGTAGTGGGCCCCATTCAGGAAGCCGACCGAGAAGCGGCGCCTCGTCGCGCCCTAGAAGCCGCGGACAAGACTTCGCGCCCCCTGCGCTCGAAGGCGAACCTTTGTCAGCTCGCCTGGAGGCCCTCAGCCAACCGAAGTCGCGTCCAGAAACAGCGAAGACGACACCAAGAGGCCACTTTACGGGACGTCTAGTGAGCGCACGAGGACATTACGAGGAGGCGCTTGTGCAGTCGGTATATCATAGTCACTGAAGTAGATGATGGGCTATTGACTTTTCTGAACTCAAAGTCAGTGTTGGAAAGCGGGCCCAATCTCAGTAGATAGGAATTACTCAGATGATATATTATAAAAAACAAGCTAGATTAGCGGGTAGAAGTCGTCGGGGAAATCTGAGGCAGATCACCGGGGAGATTAGCATCGTCGTAATTACTTCCTGCAACAGATGACGCCACAAAGACGCGAATCCCGACCAGGGAGCCGCTTAGAGCGTTCTGGAAACCGATCCGCATCAGATGTGCCTCCCCTAGCGCCTGCTGACGCTCAAATCGAGTGGACGCGCAACTTTCTGGCTGCGCGAGGCGAGTACTAGACCTTTTATTTTTGGTTGTGGTGTTTGTGTTTATTCTGCTTGTGATTCGAGGATTTAGAATTTCAATTTGGCGTTTGTCCTCATGACCATTCATTTTTTTGTGTCAACAATCGTGATTACAACAGAACCGCGGGGCAGGATGAGAACGAGCCACCGCTTTCTCCTACCCTCTCGGCGATCGGGCGTAGCGTTCAGAAGGATTCGCCGCGGCCGGAAAGCCGCGGGTCGAGCATGCCGCAAAAACTACCACCGATTGCGTGGATGAAGATCCCTCCATCAGAGGCCCAGCCTCACCATTTGGGTGTTCCGTCGACTGGTCCTAGTGGGCAGCAGTCGCCCGTAACCAGCAAGTCGCCTAGACTCGAGGTGCCTAACTCAGCAATACAGCGCAAGGCTGTGCTGGCAGGAGCGGGCAGTCCCAAAAATAACTCGGCTTCGAACAGTACGTCGCCGTCGGGATCTGCGGCGGCGTCCCCGCGCTTGATCACGTCGCCTCGGTTGCTGTCCAAGGGGTATGTGCGGGCAGCGTCGAGTGTAGAAAATCCCGAGGGAAAGTCATTGGCCGCGATAGTTTCCCAAACGCGGCCGGGTACGCAGAGCTCGGGCAGCAGACCGGGGACGCACGACAGCCGCAAACCGACTTCAGCAGGGACGACGGCAACCTCTTCGCAGCAAGGACTTTGCGTACTGGGATCGCGCGACGGATCCTTCGCTACGCGGCCAGAGAGTGCTGGCCTAGGCGCTGATGGAGATGGCTACTCTGTAGAATTTCCGCATCCAGAAAAAATCAACGTGGGCGGCGACGGAGCTGGAGGTGGTGTTGTCACGTCAGCCGGCGAGTCGAGTGTCGACCAGCCCATGATGCTTAGCCAGTACAACTTTGCTTCATATGGACAAAACGGTGGAAAGAAGAAGGCCGATGAGTTGCGTTCTGTCGGCACTGTTTTCGTGTCACCCACGAAGCGGCAGCTGCCGACTGAGGCTCTTCCACCGCGCAATTTCATAACGTCAAGGGATCATCTTCCGCTTCCCTCCAGCATGGGTCTCTTGGGAGATACTGTGACGCCGGTCTCTCCCCGCACGAAATCGGCTGGGTCGCCCCTCGAAAATCTGGAGTACGATACCATTTATCGTCAGCGACAGGCACGATCTCACAAGATATCGGAGCTCGTCTCGAAGGAGATCAGAAAGAAGACGCGCCCAGTGCACATGCTCGACGGAGTTGGAAAGGATAGGGGTACTTCATCTGACGGTAAATGAGTCCACTTAACAAATATCAAGAATGGAAATGAAGTATACTATGAACTAAGAATAACTACAGGTAGACTAAGCAAACTAAGAATAACTGCTCATCATTTATTCGCTCCCCTTCACGACCAGTTGGAGCCGACGATGAGAAGATTCAACGATATCTGCAATTTCCGCTTTATCGTCGCCAGCCAAACCCGGTGGAATTGGAGCACGCGGTGGAGATGGACCTTTGGCTCCATCGAAGCTGGAATAGAAAGGACCGCTGGGAGATGAAGGTGGATCCTGTGGACCGTTTCTTAGCTGGAAAAACACAAAGGAAACGACTCTAGCATATGCATAGAGCTCTGAGTCTCGCCACCGTTGTTTTTGTGTTCCTGATTTCGCGATGTTTTCCTGAGTGAATTCAACGCACGTGTGGTCGTTTCTGCATACGTCTTTAGTACTTTGGGATCTCATTTATTTAGATGTTTACGTAGTGAAGTTGGTTGCTATATTTTCCATGGTCGTGCTTCAAAAACTTGTACCTATTATAATCAATGAGACAGAATAAAGCTCGAATCCTACTTGTTCTTCAATGATACTTGCTGCCCGTCTGCGACAGAGCATCTCGTCATAATTCCCGAAGTCTTCTTGGAGATTCCCTGTTGAACTTTTTTTTCGCGTGTTGATTATTGAGACTGTTATATCTGAATCAAAGATGCATATAATTGCTTCTGGGTTTCCTATGTTTCCACTGAGAATCATACTCATTCTTAATTGGCGTTTGAAATCACCTGAAGTCCACTCTCGCAGTTTGCTGTATTCCAGAACAAAAGCTGCATTCTGCTGGAAAATAGACGGACGCAACGCGGCCCTCGTTGTACCCCTCTTGGGACTTCTGAGTTCCCCATTCCTACCTCAAAAGCGATGGTGATTCGGCTTTTCGTGATGCAGATACGGACACGGATCGGGTTACGAGAAGTCGACGAGGCACACACCTTGGGAGGCCATGAGTGGTCGTTTCCTACTCGAACTCATGTCTTCGAATTAAGTAAGTAGATCGAAGTAATCCGTACGAGGCGAAAATTTATGAACCAAGCAATGATGTATCTGGTTCGTAGGCGATTCGCTTTCGCACATGCTCATTATCTTTGAACTATACCTCTGTTTCCATCCTCGCTTCTCTCTGTCACAGTTAACGTCCACAACAATCACAGTCACTAGCCCTTCTAGGGAGTCCTCTGTGTGTATAATAGTTCTAGTTTGTTATTCACGCAAAGAATTGTTTTTGTTGTTGTAGTGCGTTGGAAAATGCCAGCCAGCAAGGGAGCGACAATTTTTAGGCGACCGACCGATAGCCAGGTGCCGCATACCAGGCCGATATTCCCTCACGACAGGAATCAGGATGTCACGAATCCTTTGCGATGGGGATCTGCGTTCCTGAATCGTACTTTTTGAAACATCCGTGACACATGAAGTCGAAGAACAACTTCAAGTGCTTCCTCCGATGTGCTCTGATCATAACAGCTTCATCTGTTCCACGCTTCATAATAACCTTGGCTGTGCATTGTGAGCCTGAGCGAATGTGATATGTTTTACAATTACATCAGGATCAGGTACAGCTGCTGCTTGGGACTCGGATCATTTCGTACCAAACGCGTCGCCCCCAGCATCGCAGCGCAGTGAAGCAGGGTCGACCTGTCCTCTGGGAAATCATAGGCCCAGTCGCCCGACGAGTTCAGCATCGCAGAACTCGATGGGAGCGCATCCTCGCTGGGCCGCCGATGCTTCCAATACGCATGGCGGGCTAGGACAGATTCCTCTCCCGAAGAAATTTGATAGGGTCAAATGAAAGACGAGCTTGCTTGATCATAGGGTGAGCTTGATAAGGTTTTAATCACCTGGGGGGTAGTAACTGAACAGAACAAGTATATCACGATCGAAAGAGTGAAGTTGGGCTCAAGAATGGTCAAGAAGCAGCATTTATAAAGGAGCGACCTCTCTGAAGGTTCGCCGATCAAACGAAGAGTACCTTCTTTCATACAGTAGCTGGCTCAGGGAGCAGCACGTTTTAGGTACAACAGATGTTGGATCGATGAGCTTTAGAAACGAGATTCGTCTATCTGCACAGAGTTTTGCTTCATTTACTTGAATGAGAGCCACACCAGCCGTCGAGAGATTGATAGGTGAAAGTGGGCGACGAAAAATACTGCGTTGTTGAATTATATTCAAGGAAAGACATCACCGACACCGATGAAGAAAAGATCGATATGAAGTTGTCTGAGCCAATTGCGTTTATTTCTTGATCTGGTCTCGTGAATATGACAAGAGAGTTGATTGATGGTTATGGCACTCACGTCTACCACCTGTCTGTTGATGGAGCATGTGAGTGTCCAGCGACCGAGCGATGAAGCGTTCCATCCCTTTCTCACGTGTGTAAGAAATTTTGAGTATGCCCCTTTTTAAACGCTAACAGGTCATGCACTGTTTTTTCCACACCGAGAATTACAATAAACCTGTCTTGTACCTCAAAGCGAGTTTTGGACTTGATTGATTGTACCATATGTAATTTTCGGTCGCTGATCTACTGTTCGATTTTGGGTTCTTTCATACTTGTTCGATCGTATGTCTTCATCACATTCATTACGAGTAATTTGTTAAGTTTTGGCCCTGCACATCGTTGAAGTCTATTGAACTAAGCCGACTATGTCGATTTTGGTTCCTCGATGATGTCAACATTATCAAAGAAGCTTGTGATTATGTTCTAACTACTTTGAGGCTACAGCAGCTACCAAGAAAATTGAGAACCAGTTCCATCAGGAAAATGGGGAACCTGTAGGACAGCGCGTTCTCGTGGAAAGCAGACGCGTGACACTGTGCTGGAATCCCAAGGAGGCCATTGCGGGTGGTCGGAGAAATTGACTTGAGGACTTTCCTTGGTCACGAAGTACTCCTTTGATAATCGTCTGAGGTACCTGCGCGTCGTTGAAAGTCATGGCATTCAAGATGGAGAACTTTGAGAGCGCGGTTGAGGTCCGACCGGTATATGATTGCCCGGGAAGCCTTGGAGTATTTGCTTTGCGGGATATCTCGACCGCAGAACTTGCACGAAGCGGAAGCTGCCAGCAGAACGCAGGCTCGCCTCTGTTTGTAGAAAGCCCCTTTTTGCCCTCCTATGTAGATGTATTGCGGGATGGAGACAAGGTTGCACAAGGAATTGAGGATGCGCTTTTTGGTGAGAACGGACATCGTGCCTTTGTGCGAGCACTGCGGATGATGGCGGAGCTGTCTAAAATTGCGGATCCTGAAAACTATAATGAAGACGGGATGTCGACGTGTGGAACTAAAAATGTTGCTGAAGGAGGTACAAATGTTGCAGATCTTCACCACAGCAGCTCGAAACCGCTGCGTCGTCTAATGCATCGTCGTTGGGAGACTTCGCTGTGTCTCTGGTTTCAAGCTCAAAGCCGAGAAACGCAAAGAGAATGGATGCGCCTGTCCGACAGTTCGCGACACATTTTGGACCTTGATCTCGAGCAAGATTTTTCAAAAAACGGTCGCAAGCTTTTTGTCGCGTTCGACAATGCAGACGACGACGTTTTTTTAGAAGAGACCGCTTCTCGCAGTCACATGCTCCGTACTTTTTCTAGACGTACCGGTTCAACTGACGTAGTAAGGATGGGCACTGTCGTATCTTTGGATCGTGAGTCCAGCATATGCGAGGTAAGAATCAACATGGAGAATTGTAATTGCGAGGACAAGCACGATGTTGAAAAAGATGAAGAGCAGAAAAAAGTATTAGTGAAAGTGCCGGCTGCAACATTGAAAACGCCTCTAGGAGTATATGAGACGAACTGCCTGGGTGGCAAAGGCTTGTTTCGCACGCTGAGCAGAATCAATCACAGTTGCTGTCCGAATGCCCGCATCGTTTCTCGTAGCGACTTGTATCAGGCACCACAAGAGAATGACGACGAGGTTGACACTGCTGACGGTGGTGAAACAGAAGCAAGCGCGACGGGCTACAGTGATAGTGGTGGGGTCCAGAAGGATCGGAGAAGCCATGACGCATACGACGAGGAGGATATGAGTAGACGTCCAAGAAATAGAAAGGCCAGCATGTTGACAACTACTTTTTCCATGACTCCTTTTTGGTGTTTGGTTGCGCGCCGCGATATCCGAGCTGGAGAAGAGATTACAATAAGTTATTGCGACGAAGCACTTGATGTGCGAAAGCGTCAGGTCCTATTGAAGTCGAAGTATGGATTTGAATGTAAATGCACACGCTGCGAATCAGACTTGGACCGCAGTGCTTTGGGGACTGCGTGATGTAAAGAGAATGTCTATGTCTAGTTTATCCCTTTTAGTTTAAACATCATCTTGTATTTTGATTTTGGATGCCTTCCTTCCGCGATGACGGTTACACAACAGTGTGCACTTGTGATTTCGTCTTGGAATAGAGTCGAGTCTGCACATACAATGTTAACTGTTGACAGGATTTATGATGAATGGAATCGAATTCCAAATTTTACATTATTTCACGCTCATCGATGGGCTTGTTCGTGTCTATTGTTTCTGTTCTAGTGGTTTTTGGATCCCCTTCCCTCTCTTCGATTGGATATGAGTTCTTGTGATGGATTTTTTGAGCCTGCATAGAACAACTACGAGGCGTAATATGTAACATAATCGACGCAAAAAAATTGTCTGAAATTGCGTGTAGTGATCCTTTTTTCCGATTGAAGGCGACTGCAATTTCTTTCGGAAATCATGAGGCCGGACATAAAATGCATAGTTTCTGTTCTTCTTGTGTAGCGTTTAGTTTCTATCTTTGCATTTCCCATGTTGTTCGCTATTGTAAAAACATAATACGAAATCTGATTATGTAATCAATGTCAGTTTGTATGAAAATTGAAACCAGTTTGTCGCATAATATGCAGCTTTGATTGAAACGCACTTAGAACTCTTCGCGTGGGTGATCGATCCGGCCCATTTTCTTTCCTCCTTGCACAGCGCACAGGCAGCAGGAAGATGAACACAAGCTTTGGAAAATGAGACTTGAATAGAACGATGCTGCATCTGTTCCCGAAACAATCATACTTTCCCATTCCTCTAATTTCTTGCGCTTGTTCTGTCTAGCCTGTGTCTAGAAGTGTTTGTGCTTGTATTTTTCTCTATCCTGTGTTCCACTATTTTTTCTGGCCCGGTCTCCCCAAGGTCAAAAGTCGAGGTCTAGGTGTATGTGATTCTTTTCTGTAAAGCAGAAAAAATGATGGAATGCGAAATTCCCGCTGACCTCCGAAAAAACCCGCGTGTAAACAACACTATTGTGGTTTACAAAGTAAATCGTAAGAGTAGTAGAATAGGAATACCGCGCAAGCCGAGAATACATAACCACCTACAAGCATACCACAGGTCATTGCCTTTCCATCTGTCATTCTTCTTTATGCCCTGAATTGAGAACATTAAGGATCATAAAAAGACGAATAATGTATAAGCGACTATGTATATACTAGCTCTTTGGAGTGGTTCCCCAGGGGCAGGGGTCAACGGAATTTCAAAACATTTGCTAGAACAATGAACTGCAGGTGAATGCGCAAGAAAAGCAAACAGATGCTTCGCCAAAATAAATGTGAAATAGCATCAGTCTCGTCTTCTGGACGAAATGCAAGGTCAAAATTCAAAATCCAGAATTCAAAATCAAAATTTAAAGTTCAAAATTCAAAATCAAAATTTAAAGTTCAAAATTCAAAATTCAAAATTCAAAATTCAAAATTCAAAATTCCATGACTTTTGTTCCTCGTATACTATCGCAGCGGAAAACCTTGAGTGGGTGACACTGGGCGAGTCGTGTCTATAGAGCGAGCGCCGTGCAGGTAGATTCTGCACCTGGTGGCCGGTTGTTTTGCCTCTCTACTCTTCCTTGTTATTGCGCGGGGTTGTGCGACATGGTATTTGGGCGACGTGTGCATGCCACGCACGAACTAGACCTATGCGCCTGCTTCTGGTCCTGATGCGATATATAACGGTAGCGGCCCCGCCCTAGATGCCGTGTCGCAGGCCCATTCTGGTCGCTCGTGTCCCTCGCGTTCGCGTGTGTCC